TCCTGCTGACCGTCTCCAGGCCACCCCCACCGACCAGGCACTTGGCACTATCGCCCGCCGAGGCACTTGGCTCTTCTAGTCCGGCGTGGAGGTGCCAAACTCCAGGCTTTGGGCGCCTCCGGTCTAGGCGCTGTAGCGCCCAGTTTGCAGGCGTGAAGTTGGCTCAGTGTTCCCGGCTGTAAAATGGGGAGAGCACCTCAAAGGATCTCGAAGTAGGCTGGTGCTTGCCTAAGAAGCGCAGGGCTACCACCCCGAGGCAGGAAGTCCTGTCTAACCACAAAGCAGGTACATAATCTTTGCTCTGGGCCTGTACAGCGCCCAGCACAGTGAAACCCCGGCCCATGACTGAGGCTTGTTGGTGTCTCCACAATACAAGGGGAAGACGAGCTGGGCTCTGTGAGCTTGGGAGGCCTTTTCCCATCACCTGGGCTAATCAAACCGGCGACACCCTGTTCCTGAAGGGCCATCGAAAAGCCTCGGGAGGACACCGTGATGGTGACCACAGCTCCACGTTGCATGACTCGGTGCCCGGCAGGGCTGTGCTTTGCCCGCTGTTACCGCTCCCTGCGTTTCTTTGCGTTGGGGTGGCACGTGGGAGCCCCACGACAGATCAGAGCCGTGGTGCATTAGGAGCTGTACCAATGCAACATCAAACTGGCTCTTCTTTGCTTGCTCTTGCAGCCGCTAGGCTTTGAAGTAGCTGTTTAATAAAAAAAGTCACCGTCTTTGTGCAGATCAATGCCTGGGGGTAACATGACCGGCTCTTTTTTCCCTAGCCAAGGAAGCCTGGACGAGGGGTAGCATTAGGACCCAGCGATGCAATTAAGTTGGAGGTAGGAGCTACTTGTCCCATTTTGGAGCTTTTGAGACCAGACAGAAGAGATCAAGGCATTTGGAGGAGAACAAACCATCCCATAGATCCCAAACTGGTAAGAAAATGAGCCTAGGTGGAGGATGCTTTGTTATACGGGGCAGCGCTGTTTGCTCTGGAGGGCTGAGGACTTCCCAGCGCCTAAATTCACCTCTTTGGCTTCTGTTTTCGGGGGCAATGGAAATATGACTTGCACGGTGTGCGCGTGGAGGGGGGGCAGCCGCATTTCTTTGTTGAATGGGCAAAAATCTTCCCTTGTTGCTCTTGACTCTTTGCGTGGTGCGCGCGTGTGTTTGGTCACCAGAAAGCAGAGCTCAGGTCCCCCAAGCCGCTCTCAGGGCTTTCAATTAAACAAGAAAACCCATTTATTTATCGAAGCATTATGCACGGATGTATTTATGTCTTTCTGATTTAATCCGAGTGACTGCAAATCATCTGCTGGGAACACCAAAATTAAGACGCTGTGGATCAACTTGATTTTGAAAGCTTGAACTCCAGGGTGGCTGATCGTCCGCAGTTAAATGCGTCTAAATGTATGTGAATGTCTGAAGGGAGCTTTAAGATTTTTTTTCCCCCCCCCTGAAAACGGAGTGTACAAAAGGTTTTTTAGGGTCCTTTGGGGAAAAAAAAATAAGTGTGTTGGGGGGGAGGGGATGGAGAATTAAGTCAACTTCAGTGAGTTTTACCTTTGGTCAAGAGCCAAAAAAGCTAAACCCTCTTTCATTCCCTTTGTTCTTCCACTCCCTGGCAGCTGGATTAGTGTTTAAAAAAAAAAAAAGGGAGAGAGAGAGAAAGCTGGGGGAAGGGGAAACTATTTTGGAAGGTGGAGTTTCAGAGAATGAAAGAGCCAGACTGTGGTGTTCTTTCCCCGGATTGATTGTTCCCAGATGTGTATTACAAAAACATCTGGTTTCTTGGAGCCCGGAGACCCCTGCGTGGAGCAGAGAGGAAAGCGCCTCCAGAAACGCAGCGGCCCTGTGCCCCAGTCCAGCTCGAAGCTTGCGTGCCCGCGTCCGTCCGCCCTGGTCCTCGGGATGACGCCCCGCTGATCTGGGCCGAGCGTGACCGGGCTTATGAGGCTGCATCCGTTCGGGTGCTGCTGACTCTTTGGACGAGGAGCCGAGAGGCGGCTAGGCCAAAAAGTGACCATCGCGGCACAGCCGGACGGACTTGGGGATGCTGCTAGGGCTGGAGAGGAGCTGATGGCCTTTCTGGGGCACGACAGCTGATGGGGAGAGGAGGCAAAGCTGGGGAGATGACCACACAGCGGGCGGTGTAATGGCCTTTGGCGTAGCGCCGGATAAACTGGCCCTTGAACCCGATGACCTGCCCCATAGATCAGTCCTGATCTGTGACATGCTGTGGGTGAGGAAGGATGAACCAGGGGGACCAGCAGGGTTGGGCACTACTCCCTGCCCCTGATGTCCTGTGTGACCCTGAGCATGTCATTTAGTCTCCCCTTCGGTGACCAAAAGCAGCTTGTTGCCTCCCTTTTGAGTCGCTGTTTCTCGAGCAGCGTCGGGATCAGTGCTAGGTCCGTATGACGGACATGAAATGAATGAGCGAGCTGGTGTTATGGTAACGCAGGGAGGCCCCAACTAGATCAAAGTCTCGTTATGCTAGGCGCTGTACGTAACCCGAGTAAGAGGCAGTCCTGGTGTTCTTCTAGTCTAAATAGATCAGACGTGTGACGTGGGGAAGGGATGTGCCCAAGGTCACACAGCAGCTCGGTGGCAGAGCTGAGGCTAGACCCCCCCCCGCTGCCCTGCCTGCCTGTGCTATCTTGAAGGAGCTTGTAGCTCTTAATTTGGATTATCTCTGACTTCACCCCGTGTCTTGGATTGCAACCGTGGGAATATCCCCCCCCTCGGGAGGGTTCGCTGCATGCGCACGTGTGCGTGGGCCGGGATGAGCTCGTACGTGCTGCATCTGTGAAACCTTCCCGGGTCTCCCGGGGGCGGATTGCGGGGAAGCAAAGTTCATCTTTCCAGCAGGACCCTCCGCTGTTTGGGAGCAGCAACCGACCCTTTTGGGGGCAGCCTCTTCCGGACACGAGCCCAGAGATTCGGGGGGAGAGGGGCAAGGCAGTAGGTCCCCATACCGTAGTGTGCGTCTCAGCCCGGCGTGCCTGGCACCTTGGGGATGCTCTTGGCCAGCCCCAGCCTTGTGTTCACCGCCGGACTGTGAGATCCTAGCAGCGGTAGAAAGGTTTATCTGTGCAGCGGAGCCGTGGCATCGTAGGAGAGACGTGACTTCTAGGGAGCTGCTGTTGCTGCCCCGCGGCTTGGACGGCGGGTCTGCGGTGAGGTACGATCTCCCCTTTGCCCGCAGGGATCGTGGGCGCAGCAGCCCCACTCCCGTGACTGCACCGCTGCACTGGTGCCTGGTCAACACCTGGGTGTTTTCTGGGCTGGAGCAGGCTGTCGTGGTCAGCAGGTGTCTGGAGCAAGGTGCTGCCTTCTCTGCCCTGACCCCACATCCCTTCATCTTGCCTGACGTGGGGTCACCGCTGCCAGGGCTGTCCTTGCACCGGTTCACGTGACACAGCTCCTGCCAGCGCGGATGCACCGTAACTGGCACACGAACATCTGGATAACATCTGCACAAGGATCAAAACCCCGGAGCCCGGGTCTAGCTGGGGACGGACGGCATGTGCCCTCCTCTTGTGATCTGCAGCTGCGTTTCCTGTGTGACCCTTATGGCGAGTCCCAGATGAGATGTGAACAAGCCCTACTCGGCTCCATGCCTCAGTTTCCCCAGCTGTGCAATGGGCACAGGTCTCTCAGAGGCCCAGTAAGAGCTAACCTTTCTGCGGACAGTAAAGGGCTGGGAACGGGCTACACATTTGACAGGAAAGCCCCTTTGCTTTCACGCAAACAGCTCGGCCACGCCGGGCTCTTAGGCAGCTCAGAAGGAGCAAGGGGGAGAGCTACTTTCAGAGGGTGGGAAGGGGCTGACATAGGTGGGTCCGTGTCATATAGCCCACATCTACCCACCCCTGGAGGGCAATGAAACTGGTTCGGGGGTTGGGGGATTTGACTGGTGAGGAGAGGCTGAGGGAAATGGGCTGATTTAGGCTGCAGAAGAGGATTGAATAGCAGCCTGCAACTCCCTTTGCGGAGGGGCTGCAAAGAGGATGGAGCTGGACTGGTCTCCATGGGGGGCAGATGACAGAAGGAGCAATGGGCCCAGGTTGCAGCAAGGGAAGTTGAGGTTGGATGTTAGGAAAAACTTTCTCACTAGGAGGGTGGCAAAGCACTGGGACAGCTCCCAGAGAGGTGGTGCAGTCTCCATCCTTGGAGGTTTAAGACCCGGGTAGACAAAGCCTGGGCTGGGATGATGTAGTTGGGGCTGGTCCTGCTTGGAGCAGGGGGTTGGACTAGATGTGAGCCCCCGGGGTCCCTTCAACCCTTATTTTTTCTGATTCTGGTCTTTGATGACAAAGGGATGAAAAGACAGCTCAATCCGGGGCAGAATCGGCCTCCTTGGATGCTTTGCACATGCAGGAGTCTTGCAGCATTTCTGTGACGGTGGAGTGGGGAGCAAGGGGGGCAGTCCTGGAGCCTAAAGCCTTTTGCGTTCCAGGGCGGGTAATGAAACCGGCTTTGCCCCGAGCATGCAGCAAGTATTTCCTTCACCAGGCAGGGCCTGGGGGTGGGCGAGGAGGGAGGGGAGCATTCCAGGAAAACCAGGAACAGTTAGCAGGAAAAAAATATATAGCAAAGCCCTTCTCCTCCTGCAGCGCAGTCTCTCCTCCTCGTGCAGAGAGGGCTGCCGGGCACATTGGAAGGGGGACTTCCAACCCATGCGCTGGCCCCTATAAATAGAGTCCTTTTGACCCCGGGCTGGGCTAATTGCAGGGTCTGGTTCTGTGAACAGGCCCCTGGGACCTCTTGGAGCGACACACTTCAAAGTCACGATTTATGCCAACCTTGCATCAACCTATTCCCACCTCGCTGGAGTCTGTCTTTGGCTGCACTTTCCTCTCCTTGTCGACTACTTAGCTGCACTCGTGCACGAGTTCCCTCTGCTCACATTGACTTCTGTGGTCCAGCATCTGCATCTGCATTAGCACCCGAAGGCTCAGGGCTGTTGCTGGAGTTTATGGTGGGAAATGCCACTCCATTGCAAAGACGTGTGCTTTGGGAGAAGGTGGCAGGTCAGCGTCTTGCTTTGGAAAGGATACCTTGGAAATGAGCAGCATCTGTTGCCTTACACAGGGGAGAATGGGGGCTAAGCACATCCTGTCGGAGCTAGTCGTGTTTCTGCCCCGGCGTGGCATCGTGGCCTCTCTGCTTGCCAGGCTGCCTGCATGAGGAGCCCTCCTCGCGGACAGCGGTCACAAGGTGCCGGACGGAGCTGTGTTTTCAGAGGGACTTGTTGCATGTGTTTGAATTATTTTTGAACCCCTAACTTGCTCAAAGCCTCCTTTCATCAAAAATTAAATGGTCCATCCAGTGGTTTTGGAAGGAGGGAGGTGTGGGGAGCCGCGGGACAGCCCCGACCTGCTCCCAGAAAGCACTGCTCGGGGCTGATGCGGTCCCCCTAGACGAATGTACCCCAAGGACTGCCCTGGAGGTGTTTCTGTGTTGAGAGAGAGGAGGATGGGGCTTGCAGATAAGCCCCTGTTGGGTTTTGGATCCAATGCATCATGACAGAGGCACCGAGGTGGCTTTGCCTTCCAGGAAGGAAGATGCTCCTTGCAACCACTGCTCTGCCTCTCCCATACGGCCCCAGTCCTGCGGAGCGGAGGCTGGTGGCTGATGAGGTTGAAAACCAGACCAAGTCGGGCGTATTTATTTGCATTGAGGTGGGCCCTCGCAGCCACAGCCGCAGCCCAGGGCCTGCGTCCTGCCAGGCGCTGCACAAACCCAGGACAGAAGCAGTTGCTGCTCCAGCGAGCTGGTGGCTTTAGCAGTTCTTGCTAGGGATTGATGCTTCCGGACCCACACAGCACAGTGCGGGGCTTTAGGCCACTGCAAATCTGCAGGAATCGTGTCTGGGCAGCAGTCACTCGTGCACAGCTCTCCAGGGCCAAAGCAAAGCCCTCTCCCAGGAGGGTTTAGCTGTGGGACGAGGTGACCGTCCCAGGCCTTTTGACCTCTAGGCACTTGATTGATTGTTGTAAATGCTGAGCTACTGAATGGCTTGAGATCTGCAGGGAGCGTCGCTCCAGGGAAAGGTAGGGGCAGGTTGCTTTCCGGGCCCCTCCCTGTGAGCCCCTGGGGGAGTCATTTGATCCCTTAGAGCCTTGGTTCCCCCCTCTATAGGCAAAGGGGTAATAACCTTCCTTCCACGTACACTCTCCCTTGCATGTACGTACAGCCCCGAGCACAAGGCGGTCCTGGTCCTGGTCCTGGTCCTGGTCCTGGCTGGGACCTCTTGGCAGTAGTGATACGTGAATGGTGTTGGAGGGAGATGCTTGAGGGCCTCTGCTTGGCCGCAGAATCGGGATCAGCCGGAGTCTGTGTTACCGTTCGCCTTTCTTGGCTTGCCTATTGGGACGTGCATCATTGGGGTGGGAGAAGGGTGATGGTGCGGGGAGGCCAGGCCACTGTGAGCTCCCAGTCTGCACCGAGACCCCCCCCCCGGCCTCCTCCTGGTGGGATGCATCTTAATGGGCTCCCATGTCCACGAGAGGCTTCCTCTCGCCCCCGGCCCCAGTACCGTGACTCAGAAACACATCCTGGCCCATGAAGACAGTCATTCCCACCCACCTTTCACCAGCAGGATGTGCCCCAGGCGGGGGTGAGGATCCACGTTGGCTCCGTGTCAGCCGGCCGCTGGCCCTGCGCGCTTATGCCACGCTCACGGATAATGCACGCAAGTGTCGGAGAGCGAGCGCTGCGTGTGTTCTTGCTTTGTCGGGCCGGGTTTGCACTCCAGCCGTCGTCCTAGCGCAGTGGTTTTCAACCTTGTTTCATTTGCAGACCCCTAAAACATTTCAAATGGAGGCGCGGACCCCTTTGAATGGTAAGCGTGGGTATTCACATACTGATCATAGTCATCTTTCGCGGACCCCTTAGACATAGTGTGCAGACCCCCGGGGTCCACGGACCACCGTCTTAGCAGAAGGAGACTGGATGTATTGCTTTTCCACGGGGACCGGCCCCCGGGGCACCCAGAGCGTGCGCCCCACTGGGACCGGGCGCGAGGGCTGTCGGGAACACGGCTGGCGGGGCTGCCTCGTTCTTCTCGGAGAGCCCGAGGGCACCTCGGCCTGGGCACTCGTGCAACGAGTTTAGCAGCCACTCTGCTGTCTGTGTCGTCTGTTTGCTTGGCAGTCTCTGTGGAGACCCTGGGGAAGGGATTACAGCCCACAGATAATGGGATTAGGGTCTGGACAATTGCTGTGTTAACGCCAGTGTGAAAAAGGAGCAGGTAGGGAGCTTTTTCCAATCTGAAATGATGGAGCGTGACCCTGCCGTAGGTGACGTCTGCCTGCATCGTGTCCCAGAGTGGCTGTTTGCTCAAGGCCAAGGCTATTACCTGCTCCCCAAACACCTAATGACAGGGCACTGTAACAGCACACGCTGCAGGCAACTACCCCAGGACAGGTGATGGCTATCTGTCCACTCCGGATCCTGGCTTAACACATGTTAGCATGCAAAACAGCAGTGTGTCCCCTGTCCAGGTCCTCAGCATCGTGGGACAGGGGACGTCTGTCTTGGCGCTGGGCTGCTACAAGGTGTTGCAAGCCAGGGTTGGGGGCATCGGCAGAGCAGGGGCAGGGGCCGTGCAGCAGCGGTCTGGGTTTGCAGTGGCTCGTGCCCAAAGCATCCTGAGCTGGTCCATGACCGCTGCGTGGCTTGTATCTGCTGCATAGCCAGCAGTGGGTGTTTCGTCTCAGCACAATACAATGCATCGCGTCACCTGGAACCGGGAATGGAGAAAGACAAGGTCTTATCGTGGAGAGCCCCATTCATCCGCGCATCCTGAAATGCTCAGAAAAGGAAATTCTGAATAGTTGGTGTCTGCGGACAGGGAAATGGAGGGCGGTTGAGGGTGGGAATTTATCTCGGCAGATGCACTGGTGCACATCGGAGCTGGGTGTTGTGGCTTCTGACCAATGTCCAGCAGAGACTGGCCCTGGGGACATCGGTGCGGTCCTTTCTGTATTAAACTTGCCCATACTAAGGCTGCGTAGAGATGAGCTTTCCAGCGAGGCTGTGTCACCTGCACCCACCGACACCCGTGGGACGTGGCAGGCACCAGGCTTTTGAAGGGAGAAAGAACAAGGTGGCCCTGGCAGGCAGTACGGGCGGAGCGATTTGGGGGGAGGAAGTGATGCTCTCATGCTTAAAGCAGGAGCCTGGGTTGGAGGGGAAGCCCCTGGTTTCTAGTCCCAGCTCCACCACTGATGTGCTGCATGGCCCCGGCTATATCCCTTAAATTCCCCAAGCCTCAGTTTCCCTGTGTGAGGTGCTGGCTGACCATCTTGCAAGGGCAACCCTGGGTTTCATGAGCCCACGACCTGGCTTTTGTGCCCGCTTTGTTGCTTTGGGCTTGTTTGCTTCTCCCGGCACGGTCCCTCCCACCTTTTGCCTTCCACCTCTGCTCTGTGCTGTGCCCCTGATGGCATGAACAATGAGTTCATTGATGCTTGTGCTCTCCATATATCTGACCGAGTCCCCCTAGATGGTCCCCGGCTAACCCCCCTCTCCCCTCTTCTTTTCCAGACTGCCCCAAGCTCATCCAACTACCTCCTGAGCCGCTCTGCTCCTCTCCCCGACTACCCACGACGATGAGAGCAGCGTGCGTCTTCCTGCTGTGTCTGCCAGGTGAGCACGAGCCAGCCGGACCCTCTCGCCCCAGCCTGCCGCTAAGAACCGGCGCGGCAAGTGGCACGTGCCCACGGGCCCGGGGCTCGCCAAGCCCGGAAGAAGATGCTCTTGCTGAGGACCTGCGGGAAAAGCCCTGATCAAAGTCCGCAGGCCTGTTTGCAGAGTTGCTGAGCTGGGTGGGACAGGGAGAGGTGGGTGGCAATCAGCTGGGATCGCGGGGAAGGGGACTGGTGATTGCTTGGGGATTGGCGAGGAGGTGGCATCTCTCCAGCCTTATGAGACAGCTGGGTGGAAAGCAGGAGGAGCAAAGCAGGTAGATGCACTTGACCTCGATGCCGCGCTCCTTTATATGCAGGATCTGAGAGCAGGCTGGGCTTGGGGCAATCCCCACCTCTGCCACTGCTTCCCCACGTGCCCTCTGCCAAGTCACTCAGTCTTTCCAGACATCCATTCTGCATCTGAAGTCATTCCTCCCATCCCAGCATCCACGCGGGGAGGTCGGCCGGGGCTTCACCAGGGCAGCTTAGCACGGGATGCGATGGCCGTCTGTCCGTGGAGGGCCGGGGGAGAGGAAGGGCTGTCCTGCAGCTGTGGTAGCACAGGGCCAGGAGACCTTTGCAGGGCACCGTTCAACCTACGCACAATTCCCCAGATGAGAGGCTGCGTGGCCTCAGCCTGGACACCGCAGAGCAGGCAGGGCCCTGGGCCAACACCGACGCCTCCTGAGTCAGCACGCTGTGCTATTGCAGCGCACGTGCAGCCGCGGGGGGGTTGGCAGTGCTGGATCCAGGGGAGTTAGTTCGAGCCCCCCTTCCACCTCCCCCCTGGCATGTCTGGCAAGGGCCCCGATGAAAACGAGGAGTCAACAAGCCGGGGAGGCCGGAGGCAGGGAAGCTGCAAGCCAAACCTCTGTGCGCAGAGGGTAACGGACACATGGAAAGTATTACCAGCCCGGCCCCGAGCAGCCAGGTCTTGGACATGGACGGTGGGAGGAATGGGGCGCAGGGCACAGAAATGCAGAGGCTCCCCCAAGCATCTTCAGTGCAAGGAAGCCCTGAGGACAATGGGCTGCAGCCAAGCCCCAGGTACAGGGTGCCCTCGGCTCCCCTCCGCAGCTCCAGGCCTCTGCAGAGGTGCCACGCGAGCCCCTTCCATGTGGCACGAGCCGAGCAGCTCGGCCTGGGCCTTGCTCCTGCAGCTGGAGGGCAGCCCTGCCCCTGGCTCCCCCAGACTTTAGCTAGGCTGTGCTACAGGTGGGGCAGTGGGGCTTGAGGGAGCCCTGGAGGAGACCAGAGCTGCAGCTCTGGCACCGGGTGCAAGCAGGAGCAGGCCACGCTGCTTCACGTGGTCCGACGTTTTGCAAAGACCCATCTTCTGGGGGTGTCGGAGGGCGGCTCTGACCTTGCAGGAGGAAAGAGGCACAAGGAAACAGTGGCACTAACCCAGCGCCAGCCCCAGCCCGTGGCATATTGCCGACACGAATCGTGGCCCAGCGTCCGTGCTATTTCAGAAAGCAGGAGAAGGGCTGAACTTTTGAAGTCTCCTTGTCTTTCATTCTTCCGGGCTCCTTTGCTTCGTCTTCTGCCGTCAGCCTTGAGGATGCCCTGGGCTTGTCTTGTCAAGCTCTTCTCTGCAACCAGAGGGGCCGCAGCCTTTCTTTTGGGGGAAAAAAGAAAAGAAAATGCATGTCTTGTGTGCGCGCGTGAATCCCGGAGCCGTGGGGTTTTTAAATGAATCCCTCTTATCACAAGACTCGGCAGAGCTGGCAGCCCGCTCGCTGGGTTTGTGCCTCCCGGAGCTGGAATCGGCCGTTTCTGGACATAACCGCTGTGTGCTGTTTAATGCAAGTCATCAAAGCAGCTCAGCGGGTGAATCAGGTGTGTTACACGAAGGGGAGAGAGATTCTTTTCTTGTGTGGTTTTGGATGTGGTTGGTGCTCCCAGACCCCTGCTCTGCGGGAGGTGTTGCCAGGTACAGGCATCGCGTCTGGTGCAGGATAGCGTTGAAGGGGAGATCGTTCTGACGTGGCATCAGGCAGCCCTGATGCCACGTTCTCCCGCTGCAAGTCATCTCCAGCAGCCAATTCAGGGTCTGTGCTTCATGCTGGGCCTCTGCTATAGCATTAAAACGTCTTAGTACTGACACCCTCCAGCTTTTTTTTCCTGTAGCTTTTTTGTCAAGGCCAGAGGAGGGTCAGGGTCATTGTCTCCACAGTTGGGGAAACTGAGGCACGCAACAGCGGCTCACCCGAGATCACCCCACAGGCTCCCGACAGAGCTGGAAGTGGAACTCGATCCCCTGAGTTGCTTTGTGCTCTGCCTGAGATGAGAGTGACGTGCTGGGTGCTGGACGTGGCGTGCGTGAGAGCCTCCAAAGCGCTTCCTATAACTGGGGGAGCGGCGTGAGCCCAGGGATGTCTTGCCTGGCCCTGGGGATGTCTTGTGTGAGCCCTGCAGCCGTGCCCCCGAGCCCCGGCATGCCTGCGGAGGGCTGTCTGCATGCAGGGGAATTGCTCAGGGGAAGCCTGGGGGTCCCGAAGGAAGCTCGCGTTTGCAAATCCGAAGGGCTCACTTGCACTTGGGAGATCATTTGGTGGCAGGAAGAGCAGGACCAAATGCCCTGTCGCTCTCAAGCAGCAGGAAGGTTTAAATGAACTGCTCGAAACAGTCTAGTGACTTGATTGCATCTTGGTTTTCCCTTGGTTGGGGGATGAGCCCTTCCCTGGCAGCATTTGCAGCCTGGAGCCAGGCTGGGCTGGGCCAGCTTCTGGCTTGGCTGAGCTGAGAACGGCTGAAAAGCAAAGCAAAGTCCATGCAGTCGGCCGATAGCCGCACCGCGGTAACGTTGCTTTGGGCTCATCGGGGTAGGAGCGCTAGCACGGGCAGAGCACTGGCGTCTTCTTCACCCTGTTTTACACGCATCGGCACAGGGGCAGGTTACCCGACATGGCCGTGAAGTGGCTCGTGGCCCCGCTGAGCCCTTTCTACACTAGGGCACGTGCACGGAGCTGGCACAGCAGTAGAGCAGCAGCGGAGGGTTTCCCCGAGGGGCCGGTGTAGGGCAGGCGCTAGGTGGTTGGGTTGGGTCCAGACCCAGCGAGGTGCTGGTGTTTCCTGAGTGGGATGGCAATGGGAGAGGAAACGCGCAGTGAGCTTGGCCCGTGCTGAACTAGGCAGGTGTATATTTAGGCTGGAGAGGGGAAACCCCCCGCCCTGCCTTTGCTTGACAGTTGGGAGCCGTGTTTGGGGGGGCCCCGTCCTTGGGCACAGCTTGGATCCTGGCAGCTCCCTGCAAGGGTCTGGCTTCGGTCGGGGTGGGCGGCCTCTCCTCCTCCCCCGCCATCTGCCGAGGATTAGGGCAGCTCTTGTTGCAGCGATTGCTTCCAGACGGAGGGCGGCTCGTCTTGGGCTCCTGCCCTGTTTGCAAGGCCTCGAGCTGCAACCCGCTGCCCTTGGGGATGGTGGGTCCCCTCCACGCGGCTGTCCGTGGGCACCAAACACCTGCTCTCTGCACCCCTCAGTGCTCAGCAGCCTGCCCCGTCATGAGCTCGGCCCACGCTGGAGCCCAGCATCTTTCCACCTTGGATCCAGCCTCTGAGCTTCATGCTGCCTTGGTGCACACATCCCCTGGGCTCTGTCCTGGGAAGGCATCAGGGGTGTGGACCCTGACACGAAGCCCCTAGACATGGGTTTGAAGTTTTTGCCCCGCAATGGGCATGGCCACATGTGCACACGAACATCCAGGGGCTCCGGGCCGGCTCCTGCTCTCCTGTGCCTTCTTAACTGCCTTTGACAATGGATGATTCGCGGCCAGGGCAAAAGCGTGAGCGTGGGAGGGCAGATCGGGACATCCGCAGCGCTGTGTTCGCTCAGTAACACCATGATTTCTCCCACCTGTCGCGTGTTTTTGCAGCAGCCGTCCTGGTCCAGGGACAGTACATGTTCGAAGAGGTCCCGTATCCCGAACCAGTGCAATATTCCCAGTACGACGGTCAGTTAGGTGAGTGCAACTCTGAGTCTGGTGGCTTCGCCACGGCCTCTCGGCACCGTTTGGGGGTGGGCAGCTTGCTACTTGCTCTGTGGGGGAAGAGTGCATGCTCCTACCCGGGGATAAGCAGCTCTGCCGTGGCACCTTCTCCTCCTTTTGTGGCGGAGACTGTCCCACGGCCCAATAGATCATGTCCTTAGGAGGCTTTTCTTGCTCATATTCAATCTCAACGTCCCCTTCCTGGATATTATCCTCCTCCAGCATTTCCCCCTTTCCTCGATTCCTGCACCTTGGAGATTGTGCCCCGCAGCTCCAACCTGAGCCGCAGCAATGTGATTCAATTCAATTCCCGCATACGCACACCCTCACCCCCCCAGTATTGGTTCTTTCCAGCTCCCTGGTCATTTTTTGATGCTGTTTGCTGGGTTTTTTCCAATTTGCCGATACCCCCCTGGTACCAAGGTGCCCAGGAATGAATGAAGCCACATAGGAAGGGCATCTCCATACCACACGTCCGGGTGCTGATGCATTTGAAACTGGTGTTCCTGCCTGCTAGAGCCATTCAGATGGGAGGAGGTATTGCCACAGCGCCTGCCTCGTCCCATCTGGAGAGCCTTGCTTATCCCGTTAACAGGAGCTTGGCGAACTTCGTTTTTCCACTTCCCGCTGCTCGGGATGGCTCACGAGATTTCAGGGAAATGATTGCAGTCGAGTCACTGCTGGGTCTCTGCCGCGGGCCGTGCCAAGCTCCTTCCAAGAAACACGTTTCGGCGTCTCGGAGCCTCCAGCAGCCGAGATCTGTTTGGGGGAAAAAGCAAAAGAGAAGAAAAGACCAAATATTTTGCTTGCCCCAGTCCGGTACCGAAGCTGAATTAAACAGACTGTGGTTTTTATTCCCCGGGGGGCTTTGTAATACAGTCCAGGCAATGGGGGCAGCACGGGTAGACACGCAAAGGCAGGAGCGGTTCTGCCTGCGGTAATTGCTCACAGACCGTCTGAGATTGTAAAGCCTTGCTGAGCAGGGCACATTGTCCAGCCGTTGGGATCTCAACTGGGGGCGGGGGGGGAAATTCCTGGGATTTCAAGTTCCTCCCAGCGAACCGTTACACAGGCTCCATGCAGTAGCCCAGATTTCCAACCTGGCCTCGGGGATTTTCCTCTTCAAGCTGCACGGCCTCGAAGGGACAGTGCCCCTTCCTTTTGCAAATGGGCCCTTTGGAAGTGGCTCCGTCCGGGCACCAAAAATCCCGAGTCCCTTTGGAAGCTGTCGAGTCCTGCCTCTTCCGTCCAGGTGGCCGCAGGGAGGCGTCTGGATCCGAGCGTTGCTTGCAGAGGCGCTGAGCGCTTGTCTGTGCTGGGGACCAATGTCGTGGACTTCACGCAGCAGCTCTGAAGTCCTCGGACCCCCGTCTCATGCATCAGAGCATCAGCCAGCGTGCTCGGGGGGTTGGAGAGGGAGGAATGGGGCTTCGTGCCTCGGGTTGAGCTGGTTTGTTGGTCTCCTTTCCCCCTAAAACAAGCCCTTTCTCTGCTTTTTTGTTTCTAGAAAATCTAGATTACTATGACTATCACGGTAAGTGCCTCTCTTTCCCCAGAGCGGGTGGAGGGAGCGTGTCTTACCAGCTGCCCATCATTTCTGGAGGGCTGAAAGCCTGGGGCATGGGTGGTCTCCGGGGGGCATCTCCCTCGGTTTGACCCACCGGCCTTCATCCCCATTGCTTCTGCGGTCATCCTCTCCCATCTCCTCGGCTGGTTTTGTGGCCTCACCCACCCGCCTCGGACGTGGGGCCCTCTCCTCCATCGGCTCCATCCCTGTGCTATGAGGAGGCTGGCAGCTGTCTCTATGCAAGACGCTGGCGTTTGTAGAGAGAGCTGGCGAGCAGCAGGAGCTGGCAACAGCTGCCAGCATATTGCCCGCTAGCCCTGACAGGGTGCAGGGAGGAGACCCTTTGCCCAGAGGGGTCTCTTCCCGCCCCTCGTGGAGCCCGGCTGGGTTTCGCTCCTTGGGTCCATTTCAGGGGAAGCAAAAGCAACCTTGGCCCAAGTGATGAAGTCGGGGGGGCTCTGGCCTGGCTCCTGGGTGGGGGATGAGCTGAGCCTGCCCCTTGTCCCTTGCAGCGGTCACCCCGCGCGTCCCCGAAGAGCAGTTCCAGTATCAGTCCCAGCAGCAGACCCAGCTGGAGATCCCAGCGCCCACCCCAGGTACGTAGCAGAGCGGGGCCGCTGGCCTCTCCGGACAGGGGGTCCCTCGGGATACTGGCCCGTCCGGGTGGAGATGGGGGCCGTTCCTTTGGTGGGTGTGCAACCCTCAGGGACTGTGCTACAAACCTCTTCCGGAGAGGTCTTTCCTTTGGTGACTGATGCAAAACCCAGAGCAGTTCACTTCCCGCACACTGACTTCTAGAGAGTGCGCCAGACCCAAGTCCTAGGTGATTTAGGCACCCCAGGCCAGACCCTGTTGCACCTATAAGGTGCATTGGGTGGAGGCATCAAAGTACCATCCTGCTGCATCCCTGAAAAGTCGTGAATGCCGTCGGCGGCCACGTCCTCTCCGCTATCTGCGGCAGTCGGAGGACAGCCCATGACAGCAGTAGGTGGCCGAGGGTTTCTCCGAGGGTCAGCCAGGGTGGACGTGGGGCACGTGAGGTGCCTAGTAGGTGGAACAGAGCCTCGTTCAGTGGCGCCAGGTTTCTGACACCTTCCAAGGAGTTGCCTGTGGTCCCTTGCACCTGCCTTTCCAGGCCTCGGGTGCATGGCCAAGGGACTGGTGCCCCACCTCCCCTGCTGCACTGCAGACCCCGGACAGACGGAGCCCCTGGGCCCTGGTTCCCCAGCACGGCTCCTCCACACGGGAAGGGCTGGGGGGCATTCAGAGCAGGGAGAAGCAGTGCCCCTGCCCCGCATCCTCAGCTCTGCCCAACATCTTCCCCCTCCAGATGCTGTCCCCGAGACCGAACCCACAGAGCCCGGACCTCTCGGTAAGCCCCGCCGCTCGGGTGAGGCCGTGCATCTCCCAGCTCCTCGGGGGTGGAAGGCAGGCCTGGAAAACTTAAAGGAGGTGGAAAAAAAGAGCTCATGCGAGCTGCGAGAGAGGAGCCAGGGCACGGTCCTGGCCTCACTCCCCTTCCCCAGGACGGAGGAGCTGCCGTGGTAGCAGGCAGAGCACCAGGCTCCTGCCAGCAATTGCGAGCTGCCTGGGGGATTCCAGCCTCCATGGCATTTTTCATGCAGAAGCTGCTTGTGTCGAGCAGAAGTGGGGCCTCCACGAAGGCTGCCCCTATGTCTAAACCTGGCCCTGTGCCTCGTGCCACCTTGGCATCTGAGCATCTGGAAGTGCAGGGTCAGGTCCTTGCCCTCTGCTGAATTTCCCTGCAGGGACAGTGCTGTCCCGGCGGGGAGGGGATGCTCCAGCCCCTGCTGAAGCCCTGGAGGGCTGGCACCAAACCCAGCTGCACTGGGGTCCCTCGCACTCAGATCCTTCCCCAGATCTCGGGGGTCTCCTCCCCACCCACCCCCTTTCCTCTGCCTTTGTCCCAGGGCTGCTCCAGCCATACAAGCTGGGTTTGCAAAGCCTTTCCCCCATGGGCTGGACCTAGCTGGAGTCTCATTTGTGTTGTGCTTGTGTGTGTACATGTTGGGGAGGGGGGGCTGGTTTGTGGTGTGTGTTTCTGTGTGTACTGGGGAAGAGGGATCTGGTTCATGTGTGTGTGTGTGCATGTGTACGTTCATGAGTGCCTGTGTGTGTTTGCATGTGTGTGTATGTGTATTGGGGGGGGTCTGGTTCATGCCCTGTATGTGAGTGCATGTGTGTGTATTGTGTGTAGAGGTCTGTTTCATGCCCTGGATGTGTGTGCACATGTGCATTTGTGCGTGCGTGTGCGTGCACGTGTGTGCGTGCATGTGTGCATTTGTGTGTGTGCGTGTGGAGGGCAGGATAATGCAGGGAGGGGGAGCTGGTGACGGGGCGGGAGCAGGACCGGCCGCGCTCCAGGCAAAGCCACGTCCCCGGCCAGCTCGAGCGAGCCCGCCTCGGCTGCCAAGTGCGTGCAGGGCTTGGAGCGCGCGGCTCCGGCCAAGCCAAACAGGGCTCGGCGGCTCCCCCAGCAGTGTTTCCACACAGCCGCACTGTCAAGAAAGCCCGGTGTTCCCGCCGTCTCCCTGCCTCCCCCCTGTAGCTCGTGGAGGCGTCGATGTGTGTGAGCAGCACGAGGCACGGTGCTATCCGCAGCCCTCGGCGCTCGCTGCAGGGATGCCCCCAACCTTGAGGGGCAGCTTGCTCCTCTCACCCCCTCTTCCCCATGGCCACGTACCTTGGGCTGGAGGGATACCACATCCTCGTGGGTCCACAAGACCCAAGCAGAGCTGGTGGTTGGGGAGAAGAGCGCCAAGGCAGACCCCTGCGTTGCTGCATCGATGCAGGATGTTGCACCCTTGTCTCTGATTTGCAGCTGGGGCGATGCACCGAGTAGGTGTGAGTATGTGCATGTGTGTGTGTGCGCACGTGTGTGTGTGTGTGTGTGGATGCACCCACACAGCTTGAGAACAACCCCAAGAGTGCTTTCTTGGGAAGCCGCCGGCAGCCAAGGTGCCCGTGCGGAGCCCTCACCGGCGCGTGCCGCCTCTTGTGCAGATTGCCGGGAGGAGCAGTACCCCTGCACCAGGCTGTACTCGGTCCACAAGCCCTGCAAGCAGTGCCTGAATGAAATCTGCTTTTACAGGTAAGCGACGGGTGGCGGATACGGTCAAGCCTGGTCCCCGCTTGTCATGGGAGAGCGCGGGAGCTTGTTGGGTTGACCCAATGGACCCGTGCCGCACTTGGTAGGACCCGCGGGGGCTTTTGCCCACGTCCGGGGCACGAGGCAGCTTTGGTTTCAGCCACGCGCTCTCTCTTCCAGCCTCCGCCGGGTGTACGTCATCAACAAGGAGATCTGCGTCCGCACGGTCTGCGCACACGAAGAGCTGCTCCGAGGTAAGAGCGTGATGCGCCGGGAGCCCCTCGACTGGAAAGCCCCTCCTGTCCCACCCTGCACCGCTCTCTAAACACAGCTGCCAAGAGAACGTGGCTTCAAAGCCGGATCGGGGCCCGACCCGCTGTCTCGCCCCTGGAAGGGGTCTGGCAGTCCCTGGAGGAGCTGGCATGGGCCGGTCCAGCGGGAGCCTGGCTGGGTTGCAGCTCTCTGCCTGAACCGGGGCTGGAGGGAGGACACGGGGACACGTGGTTTGGGGTCACTGGGCCTTGAGCCACTTCCAAACCACAGCAGGAGGGAAGGGAGCGTCTCCCAGGGCTGCCTTCCTCCTCCCGCTCTGTGCTACAGGCCCATGGGCCTGGCTAACACCCCCGGGGTACGGCCCGGTTGCTGCCGCCAATGTGGATGAATGCGGACTGGTGGGAAATTGGGCTTGTGGCAGCGGAAATGGTGGCAACGGCATCACCGAGGGGTCCTCTCGTGGGGCAGCAGCTCAGCTTTTGCATCTCCCAGGAGAAGCAATGCCCGGGAGCCCCCGTGCTTCCAGCCCAGCTCCCGGGGTCTCCTCCCGACCCCTCACAACTGGTTTCTTCTCGCCCCTTCCACCCCCTCAGCTGATCTCTGCCGCGACAAGTTCTCCAAATGCGGCGTGATGGCAACCAGCGGCCTCTGCCAAATCGTGGCTACCTCCTGCACCAGAAGCTGTGGGGGCTGCTAAGGCCGGAGGGCAGGCACGTGGCCGCGGCTCCACCGTCGCGAAGGCCAGGCCGCGTGGACGCCAAAAGGACCCGACCCACCCAGAGGAAAGCCCTTCCACCCCCACCCTCCCCAAGTGGCCTTCCATCTCCCCCCGTAGAATAAGGTGGTTGCGCTCATGGTGCTAAAGAAACACAGTGCATGAAACAGCATAAAAGTCCATTTTGTGCACATAATATAGGGTTTGTATTATTTTTATCACTTTGTTATATTATAAAGGCCGGCGGCTGGGGCTGAGGGCACGCAGCCCAGCCCAGCCCACCCGGCCCGGTTTATATGTAGAGTATCTAAGAGAACAGGTGTAAGGGTTGCCCGAGTCCCTGGCCCCTCTCTTTCTCGCTCTGTCTCGCTCCTTCGCAGCTTGGTAGGACTTTGCTCTTGTTGCTTCCCTCCTGCCTGAACTCCCCCCTGCTTCCACCTGGGCGCTGGACCAGGCAGCAGATCTAAGTGTGGGGCAGATGGGGACTAGGGAGATGGGGCTCGTTTTCCTGGCCCGTTTGATCCCAGCTGTGGTCCATGATTGCTAAAGGGCATGTTGGAACTGAAACTTCAGCTGTGGCCGGTCCACACCCCTCCCCGGTCTCTGGCAGGGTCTCCTTCTCCCTGCAAAAGCAGCTATCTGTGCAGGGCAAACCAACCCGTCTCCCTCCGCTCAGCATCCAGCCAGGGGAGAGCATCTAATGCTGAGACCGTGGCTGTCTCCCGCTCCCCCGTTGGCCCCGTAAACCACAGAAGACTCCTGACCCGAACAGGTATGGTTTGCTGCTCCAGGGGCCGAGGAAGTCCACTGGGTTTTCTGCTATTTTGAGAGCCAGGTGCTACATGCATGCAGCCCGCGCCTGCAGGGCCCCGTGGGAGGGGTGAGCTACAGAGAGACCGGGGGTTGCAGAAAGGAGTGGTTGCCTCCTGCCTGCCCCTCTCCCCATTCCTTCGCCCTGCTCCTGCTCCCGGGGGTGTGGGCATGGTGCTTCTTGCCCCAGCTCCTTGCCCTGCCAGAAGCTGTCCCTCTTCACCCCTAGATTTGTGCTTTTTCCTGGCTCTGGTTCTTCTTTCAGCTGGTGGCAACTCACCACTCACCCCCATGCCAGTGGGCAGGGGAGCTTTGCAGCTCTGCTATCGCCTCTGCTGTGCCCACCTCCGAGCTGAGTCTGTCCCTTCGTGCTTCTGTCTGGTCGCTGCAAGGCTTGCAAGCCCCTTTGAGACCCAAAGGGATGCCCCCTCCGCCCCCCACCAGCTGCAGTGGACGTAAACGTGCCCATACGCAGCAAACGTGCCCATCCCTGCCCCTGTGTTGAGACCCGACCCCCCCCAGCCGTGCCACCATCTCCTGCTGCGCCCGGGGTCCCCTGCATGTATTGTCTCGTGTACGGAGAACGGCTCTTTTGTACAAAGTAAATGTTTTAAGAAAAAAATAAACTACCACTAAACAGGTCGTGGCTGCTCTGAGGGGTCCCGGGAGCCTGACGCTGTTCATTGAGTCCTGTATAACACCCCAATGATGCTGGCCTTGGTTGGGGCTGGGCCTGGGTTGTAGCCCGACCCTTTGGTTGCAGTGGGGCAGAAACCCCGCCACTGTCCTCTGCATTTTTATCCAACGACTAGTAAGTGCAGGGGGTGGTGGCTCAGCACTGGGTGTCACCTTCGCAGGGCTAAACCAGAGAAAGCTTATCCCACCCCTGCTTTTTCCTGGACTTAAACTCTAGCTGCACGGAGATGTGCAGTCGATGGAGCGCACTCCGTCTGCACACGCACGCGCATATCCCAGCCAGGCACAGAGCTGGGAAAACACCACTCAAGCCCACCCTTGCTGTCCCCACTGCCTCCAACCCTGGAAGCCATGTAGCTAGGTCGAATGAGCTTGCAACGCCAGCTCCACTGCGTGCAGTCTCGGTGGTAGCCCAGCACAGCTCCCCAGGGCCCTCCACTTACCGCGCACACACCGCCCCTAGGAGTGGCCGGCTGCTGAACTGGGGCATGGTTGTGCCCTGTGTCCACCCTCAGCGAGACACTGCAGGAGGGAAAAAAAATATCACACGCCAGCTCTGTTTTCCCCTGTTTTAATGCTACATTGGACCACGTGCAGCTCACGAAGACCGGTGGTTGGGGGGAGGTTGGGAGCTGGCTGGAAACAGCCTCTTTCACGTGCTAGATTGTGCTTAAATTCCTCTGGATAAAACCAGGTTGTACAAACCCCTGGGGAAGGTCTCTGAGAGAGGAGTCAGAGTTGTTACTGGTTGGTCTCTCCACTCCCTTCACTTGTAGAGAAACGAGTGAGTGCAATTTAGGGGACACGGGGATGCAAAGGGGCTTCTGAGCTGTTCCCACAGCACCAAGGAGGAAGGGAGCAAAGCCCCCGCCCCGCACACACACAGTCCAAATCTACCCAGAAGGCATCAATATAAAAATAGCTCTACAGGTTGGGATTAATGGTTACACAAAAGCCAAAAAAATAGGAATTTTGGTTAGAAAAAACTTGGTCACTTTAAAAAACAAGATGACGCAGACATAGAAAAAAGCCTCGTGCCGGCAACCAGGATTTAAACACCGCTGCTCAGTGGAGGATGCTTAGAGCAGCACCCCTGAGCTTTTTCAAGTCAGGGCCTCGGATGGGCCGTGCTGATCGCGGTTCTAGGAAGGAAGCGGTAAAAATGCAGCCTTACGCTTGGCTCGGGTTTTTAGTGTCAGGTGCTGCAGGGCAGAGAGACGTGGAGTCCACCTTGCCCGTGCACCAGTGCTGCTTGCTGGTCTGTTCAGGCAGTTGCGCCAAGGGCACGGACGCGAGCAGGGAGAGATGCTGGTTCTTCCTCCAAAAATGTTGCTGCCAGTGATGCAGAAGGAGAAACCTCCAGCTTCCTGCAAAAGCCCAGTCCTTTTTCTAGGGCTGGTATAACAACCTCCTTCAGGAAGGCATTGCTAGCCTTCAGTCCCTGGCATGAGCTGCAGAGCAAACCAGCCGCCGTTCACTGGTCAACATGATCAGCTTCGGAGCAAACCTCGTGGGTTAGCAAAATGCTGGGAGGATCTCAAAGGCCTGGCCCGAAGCAAGCTTCATAATGCCTCTCTGAGGTCAGCGAGGACGTGCCCCGTTTCAGGGCAGTAGAGTGAGGCACAAAAGGGAAAGGGACTTGCCCAGACTCGCGTGTATTGGCACCAAGAACCGAGTGCAGGAGCCCCCCAGCCCTGCTCTGGACAGACGCTCCATCGCCGCCAAATAGCGGTGGCTGCTTACGTAGCCCCAGCCCAGAGTGGTGACCATCACCCTCTAAGAGCATCTTTCCAACCACAGGTGACAACATGCAGGGCCTGACTCTCAGGTGCTGAGCGCCTGTAGCTCCCACCGACTGTCCTTCAAGTTGTGGGTGCTCAGCACGTCTGGAAATGGGACCCACAGTGAATCCTGTGACTGCAGATGAGTCCCAGCTTTCCTCATCGTGCTTCTGTACGAGACGCACGACAGAGAAGGCAAGTTAGCAATGTGAAAGGGTCCCTGCGACGGCTACAGCCCCTTGGTACCTGACCAGGGATCCGCTGGGACTGACCCCGTCCGTACCAACCAGCCTCCGTGCTGGCACCGCAGGAAGGGGCACAGCACCGACGTCTCCGGGGTCACGGTGCGGCTGGCCAGCGGGACAGAGCCTAGTTCCCGGGGAGGAGGGAGGAAGCCGGGTAGTGGGGCTGATAGCGCCGCAGCTCTTGCTGGAGCTGATCCTTCAGCGTGGAGATCTGTGAGAGAGGGGAACGGAGGGCGGTCAATGGGGGAGTCAGCTCGGACTCGGAGAGAGTCCCAGGAGGGTCAGCAGAGCCACACTGGGGGGGGATTTCTTGCAAACATCAAATGGGTATTTGCAAGTTCACTGCCCAGGGCAGAGCTCTGGCACCCAGCTCCCTGCACGGGGAAAGGTGTCAGACCCCAGGGGCCAGCACGGAGCCTCACCTGCTCCTCCAGGCCTTTCACGCGCTGCCTGTGGGCTCGCTCCCGGGCCTCCAGCGTGCGTTCGGCCTGGACCTGGGAGCCGCGCAGGCGCTCGATCTCCACCTGCAGCTCCTGGCGGTGGCGCGTGGCCGTCTCCATCAGACTCTGCGACTGGCTCTGCTCCATCTCAGCCAGCTGAGCCTGCGCAAGGGGCAGGAGGGTTAATAGCGCCCTGACTGCACATGCCCCGGGCTTCCCTTGCAGGGGGGTAGTCTTGGCCCCGCTGCTAACCCCCCCATGCAACCCCAAAAGGAAATGTTGGGGATCTCTACATGCCGAATTCTTCCAATTCCCCCCCCCCTCGCCATTAGATGGGTCACCCAGCGTGACCCTCTGGTCCTAAAAACGGATCCATCAAGACCCGCTCCACACACAGCGCACAAGCCACAGCTGCCACCATCATGGCATTACAAAGTGCTGAGTGCCGTAGTGTAGACAAGGCCCCGAGACCCCGCTGCTGCCACGCAGGTCACTGGCACCAGGCTTCTCCCCTCATGCTCTGCTCCTGTCCCTGCCTGCACACGGCTGGCAAACCCGCCCAGGGTCTCCAGAGAAAACAGCATGAACCGCGGTGGCCACCACCGCACCTGCACCCCGGCCCTGCTCCAGACACATGGTGATCTTGGCACATCCAACGCCTCAGCCTCATGGAAAGCCCCATCTGCTACTCTTTTACACTGGCATAAATGCTCAGTGTGCCCGTGCTGTGCAGATCAACGTGGAGCTGAGGCAGTGTCTCACTCCTGGCCCGACTGCAAGGCTGTGTCCAGCCCCTGCTGCGCCTACCTCAAGGTCTGCGATCTCAGGAGACAGCATTTCCCAGCCCAACACTGCTCTGCAACCTCTAGGTAATCTGGATGCCTCTCATGTGCTCCATGGTATATCGTACGCCCAGACCCCATCCCCGACAGGGCTGTTGGGACGAGCACCTCACTGTGTTCCTATAACACCCCTCTTCGGTCTGGGACAGACATTGCATAAACCGGTTTGACCCAAACCAGTTAAGTCTGATACTACTATTCAACCAGGTTTATCTCAAGCAGGTTTCAGCCACTTTCAAACTGGTTTATATGTGCCGAACGTCTGTTCTGTGATAGGTTTAAACCAGTTTCTGATCACTTAAACCAGTTTGTCTGTCCCTAGCCTTCGTAAGGACGGCGAGTGGGCCCAACATTCAAGCACCAGCCTGGAGCCAGGGAGCATATCCCTGGCTGTAAATTATACCAGTATAAAATGCTCCAGGGTAAGACAAACATGCACTATCCCAAGCCAGCTGCTTTTCATCTACCCCCTGATCTGTCCAATTTGGAGAGCCCTCCCAGGAGATACAACCCCCACTGGCACAACCCGGAGGGCTGTGGGAACGCAGAAGCACTCGTGCCGTGTCTAGCTGCGGTCCCCAGGGGACAATTTATATTCAAGTAACCCAGGCTTGGGTGGCAAAACCCAGACGTATTCTCCACCACTCCCAGCATGGGCGCGTGCAGCTCTGCAGAGAAGCCAAGTGGCTCTGCCCACCTCACTACATGGGAGAAACAAAGGAGGGAGGGGAAACTGAGGCACAGAGTGATACAGTGACGTGCCCCGTGTCACTTCAGAGCAGCCTCAGGCAGGGCAAATATGAACCCAGCTGGGAAATGCCAGACACTTGGTCCTGAAATACTGCACCCAAAGCAGGCTCCTTTGCTGTTGAACGTGAACCCCCGGGCCAAGGGAGCAGGCTACGAGGCGGTGGGGTTAGCAGCCTGCGTGTGCCAAGTAGAGCGGCCGTCACTAGCTGGGGGCCCTCGGGTCCTGGCTACCGCTGCGCTGGCCGGGCTGGGAGAGGGTTTTGGCTTTTACGGAGGTTCCCGGCCCGGCGAGAGGCCAGGCGCGAGGATCCAGAACAAAGCAGCATTCATCACGCCGGGTCCGGCTGCAGCCAGCCATGACATCATGGCATCTGCAGAGACGCTCATGTTAACAAGGGGAACAGACACGAGCGGAGCCGCGGCCAGCTGATAGCACCTAGCTTTGCTACATGGCCTTGGGAAGTCGCCTTGCCTCACCGTGCCTCAGTTTCCCATTCTGTTCTAGCCAAACTGGGCACGGGCTGGCTCTGACATACCTGCCCGGGGTCCTAATTTCAAGCCGGGTGCCATGCGAGTGATTTGCACGAGCATAACGACCCGTTGCCTCTGCTGGAGGTGGGTTCTCTAGGAGCGGGGCGGTGGTACGGCAGGGCTGGGCATCAGGATCTGGGATACAGGACTAGCTACAAGCATGGGGCAGGCTGCGCGACTCACCCAGGAGCACATTATGGTCCTTCTAATCACGCTTAGTTTCTCCTTCGAGGAACGGGGCGGCAATCGGAAGAGAGAAGGCAGTAAGCACACCAGCGAGCGACATTTTGCAGGCAACCAGCACAACGGGGCAGGAGGCAGGGCAGACAGGGGACTTAGCTGGGTACAGACGGGGCTAAGGACTAGGGGGGGTCTGCATGGAGGGGCTTATCCCAAAGCACCTGGAGTCTTGCCCTGACTGTGACGGGCTTTGGATCTGGCCCTAGATGGTGAGCAGGCGCCTGCCTTGCCCTGCAAAGCTGTTCGAGCACAGCCACGTGCTCCCACGTCCCGCTTGGTGCTGAGCCGCTGGCGGGCTGTGCTAGCTGAGGGCAGGGGCGGGCAGCAGGGATGCTGAGCTCCCGTGCCCCCGGCCAAGTGCCAGCGTGACATGGGGGATGGGAGCACGTGGCCAGGGAGGCCGAGGCACCAGCAGGCTGAGCACAAGCAAGGGGTAACATCTCAAAAGGCACCTAGGTGACTTAGGAACCAAAGTCCCCTCCATTTCCAGTGGAGCTCAGGCTCCTACATCACTGAGATGCCAGGGAGAAGAGGCAGGTGGGTGAGGACAAAGGTCAAAGCACCTACTCCAAGGAAGGCTGCAGGCAAAGAGGAGGGGAGCAGGGCACGAGCCAGGTCTACAGGGCACAAGCATGCCAGCTACCCAAATGGCAGAGGAGGGGAAGGACAGCAGGAGCTCGGAGAGGACCCCGCGGGTCAGCAGGGAGACCCTGCCCAGAGGCCGAGCAGACACTGGGTTTCCAGGTGATGGGAGCACCAGGAAGCCGCGTGCCGAGGCATGTCAGGAGGGCAGCACGGCCCCCAACGTCCCGCAGCCTGTGGAGCCCCCGAGCCCCATCCCCGAGTGCAAACAGCAGCAGGGACGACGACCGCGGTGCCTGTTCAGGGACAGAGGTCATAGGGGCTGCCCCTTCACACTGTCTACCTGCAATCTCTCCAAGCCCCTATAGCCAGGAGAGAGCCTCACGTCTCTGACTCCTTGGCTCCGGGACTGTGCAGGAGAGCAGGGACGAGGCTTGGCATCAGGACTGCACTGGCTGTGGCAAGGGAGGGGGGACGGGAGCTGTGTTACTTGCCTTTCCTAGCAATGACATGCACTCAGTTTACCTCCAGGTAGATCGCACCCGACCTGTCCAAGATCCACTCCTTCCTGGCCTGTTTCTCCCCTCTCCCCTTCCACCCTCACCCACCGCTTCCCTCCTCTCCTAGCAGCTTTTTGTTCAGGATCAGGAACACGTGTCCTGCTCAAGACCAGGGTGAAGGGAAAGGCATGGCCTGCCCTGCACAAAGGTCCTGCCAGCTAGGGGTGTTTGAAACACGACTGAGTTCATCCTAACAGCAAACACAGTGAATGATGAAAGCTCGGGGCAGAGCCATGGGGCAATCCTGCCCCTGCGGGTGCCTGGCAAGCAGAACTGTGCCCAGGTCTCCAGAAGAAATGGAGGAACATAGGGCAAGACCTGTGGGCATCAAGTCCAGTCCCCTGGTGCATAACCCCGTTCATAAGCTAATCGTGGTCCTTTGGCAGGGTTTTTGCCCCACCACGCCACCTGCCCTGGATGTGTTACAGGCACATTGCTCCCGTGGCTACAGGAGCTGGTACATCAGCCTAAAGGACCCTCACAGGTTGACCAGTCCTGGTCCTGGACTCCTCCTGCCCAATACATTAGGTGGGTGGGGGGGTCTCACAGCTCACCTCCAGCAGCTGGATCTGCCGCTGGGCATCCGCCAGCTCCTGCTCCACCGTGGTGAGCGAGCGGTCCAGTCGACCCTTCTCTGCCGACAGCCGCAACGAGTCTTCACGAGTCTTCAGCTTCTCGCGCTCCACCTGCCGGCCCAGCAAGCGCAGGGGGACGGAGGGGTCAGGGCTAGCAGAGATGGCCACGGCCAGCTACGCCGAGTGCCAAGATCAAGCCCAGTCAACAGTCTCCATCTAACCCTTCTCCCTCTTGGGCGTGTGGATGCAGGACTATTATTTAAGCTTTGTTCATTGACCAGGCTGACAACTAATTGCCCATTATTTCTTTGCATCGTGAACCAGGGTCTCCAGTCAAGACAGGAGACAAGAAAGGTGAACCAAAATGAGCCAAGGTCCATGTCAACACTGAGTTGTGCATGCAAACCAGAGTGGCATGGAGCACATGCCCCTGGGCTGGCACGTCTGCCGTCACCATTTGAGGATGGCAGGGATTTAGGCAAGATAGACACAGACAGACTGTGGCCTGGGGTAAGAGGGGGAGAACTGCAGGATTTCGACTCTGGGGAGGTGAGAGGAGACCGCACACCCTGGGCAGGTGCGGGTCGCTGCTGGAAGGATCCCAGAACATGCCGCAGAGGAGCAATCATGCAGCCAAGGAGCTCGGGCTTGCCTCTGACTCTCTCTGGGCTGGGTTTGCCAACTCCCCGTGGAAGCCGGGGCCAGGCTCAGTTGGGATGAAGCAGGGATTGCTGCTGGGGCTTTGTCCCTCGGTACACTGATGGGGACCTGACTGCGTGTCCAGCCTCCTGCGGTCAGCCTAATCCCAATTGATACCAGTTTCTACTGAGGCCCTGGGCCAGACTGCACCTCAAAGCAAATGCACAAATGCAGCTGACTCCACGGAGGGGATTTTGCCCAACTCTGCTGTCGTATGATGCCCAGGTTACCATTTGGACTCCCATAGCTGATGGCTCATCAGCTCAGCAAAGGGCCCTGTAGTCCCTACTCTTGGGAGACTACTGCAGCCAACCACACCAGCCACAGGATCCAGCTGCTCATGGCCCCATAATGTGCCCTGGATCAAGCAGGACCCTCACTAGCAGGGAAGACAGCACTGAGCTAGTGAATGCCCACAGCCATCTCCCCTCTACTAACCCAGAGGCACTGGTTAGGAGAGACTGGGGCCATTCGGAGGGTGCTGGGGGTCCGTTCAAGTATGGGAAGCTCCAGCTCACCTTGTCCAGGGTCTTCTTCAGGGCGGTCTTGTCCTTCTCCAGGCGCAGGGAGGAGCGCTCGGCCTCCCGCTTCTCGCTCTCCAGCTGGGCCAGTGCCCGCTGCAAGCTGCCCAGCCTCTCCTGCAGCAGGTGCTTGTCCTCCTGCAGCTTCTGCTGGCCCCGCAAGGCCAAGCTCTCACCCTCCTGGCGCTGGCGCAGCAGCTGGGTGGGGGGCAAGGGAGCAGAGGGGTGGAGATGAGCTAGGAACCCCTTGCAGGGATGCATTGAACCAGGGCAGCGACAGCGGCAGGATGCATTGCACTAGGGCTGGACACCCCAGGGCCAGCCCCTCACTGGGAATTAAGTGAAGGCAATAGGACTGATGGCTGAGGGGTGTTGCTCGGCTCCTCTCCAGAGGCATGCATTCCCTTCCAGCCGGCCACGAGCCCAAAACGCTCTCCAGCAAGGGCTTGGAGCTGGGCTGCCTGGCAGGAAGGCCCCAAATGAGTATGACCTTAGCTGCTTCTCCAAGACCAAGGTATAATCGGCTTAAATCCAAAGAGACCCTTCCACTCAACACCGGCAGCCTCTCCTGTGCCCCTGCTTGGCCCAGAGCAGGAGGGAGCAACAAGACCTTTTGCAAGGGGGTGCTGGAGTCGGCGCTCGACCCCGTCAGCTGGTTCGTTCGGAGGTTGAGGAGCTCCCGAGCTAGTTGGTGGAGGAGACCAGCTCCGCAAAAGAGAGGACCAACACGCCAGTGGACTTCCCCGTGAGCACCTGTAAGTTGTGCTACCGTACGGGCATTGCTAGCCATACCCGAGTGTGGGTCTCAGCCTCCATGCTGCTGGGCACAAGCCACGGCCATGTGCTTTTTGCCACAACCTCCCTGGGTCAACAGCACATCCTCTGGGGCTCCGGGGATGGATGGTGAACTGCGACCCAGACCCCATGCTCACGTCTGGTCCCAGCATCCACCCTCCAGAGGAATGGGGTGCGTGGGAGCCCAAAGGTGCCCCGGTGAGCAGCCCCACCGCGGCAGATGCCCTGTGTTGCTGGAGCAGGCTCCCCCAGGCCTCCCCGCAGCAGCAGACTGGCTCGGGGACCACCCCGGGCTCGAATGGCTGCTCTGAGCCACCCCAGCCCGTGCAGCCTGCTCACCTCCTGCTGCTGCCGCACCTGACCTTCCAGCTCCTCCTTCTGCAGCTCCAGCTCGGCCTGCTCGGTCTTCAGACCCTGGATGCGGTCGGCCAGCGTGCCGTTCTGCTTCTTGGCTTCGGAGACCGCCTGGCGAGCAGCGTCCAGCCGCTCCTAGGGCACGAGATGAGAGGCTGAGTCCCGAGGGGCACAGAGGGGCACCTCCGTAGAACGAACCCAGGGGCAGCAGGGAGACGCCAACCTCTGGCAGAAGAGACAAGGGCGAGAGGCCCCTGTGCCTACATCTCTTTTAGGGGCAGATGGCATGGTCTAAAGCCCAGAGCAAAGCAAGAAGTGTCCTCCACAGCTCCGCCCAGTCCTGTCCAGCCAGTTCAGCTCTTTCTGACCATCCCAGTCCAGACTGGGGGCATCCCAGGCACCCTCACCCAGCACCTCTGCCAGGGCCACCTGAGTCCTGGCCGTGAAACCCCTGCTGCATGAGCCTAGAGGAGACCCCCCCCTTCCCACATGCCCTGCTCCCACCTGGAGCACTCGACGGTCGTGCTCGCTGGCGGTCAGCGCCTTCTGCAGCTGCAACACCTTCTCCTCGGCCGAGTCCGCGCCGGCGCTGCTCTCGGTCAAAGCGGCCGACAGGCTCTGCACCTTGTCCTTCAGGGAGCTCTCGCTCTCCTCAGCCTTCCCCAGCACCAGGGTCAGTCGGTCCACAGACATCTGCAGGGCGCTGGCCTTCATCTCGCTGTCAGTCACCTGCGGTGGGGTCAGCGCTGTCCTTTAGTAAGCCAGAGCCCAGGCCTGGTCCCTCTCCGATGTCCCCGAGTGGAGCCCTGTCCTCGCTGGCCCGGTTGGGGGGCACCTGCGTGGTGATCCCAGCTACACAGCCGTGCATCTCCCCCGTCCAGCTGGGCAAAGCCCTGCTCTAATAGCAGCAGTGGGGTCAGTTCAGCTGCCACGGAGAAGGCCCACCATGGTCCGGCCGTGCTAGGGGCCACAGGCACATTGCAACCTGCCCTGGCACTCCCCAGCCCCCTTCCACACCAAGCCCTGCTAGCTCAGCAGGGCCGAGGCTGCCCCTGGGAAAGGCCCAGCCGGGCGCTGGCGGCACTACCTGTCTCTGCAGCATGTCGCCGCGATCCTGCAGCACCTGGATCTCCATCTCGCGGTCGCTCAGCACCAGCTTCATCCTCTGCAGCTCCCCATCCAGCGAGCGCCGCAGCAGCTCCACCTTGGTGCAGCGGCTCTCGGCTGCATCCAGGATCTCCTTGAGGCGCCGCTTGTCAGCCTCCAGCTTGGCCTCGTTGGCCTTCATCTTGGTGATCTTCTCCTGGGGGAGAGTGGGGGTGAGAATCCTCATCCTCCTCTGTCCCTGGGTAGCTCTTGCTCCCAAACCGGCCTTGGGTGAGGCTCGCGGGAGATGACGACAGTACCCCAGCGCACAGCTACGACGCCCCCGGTGCTCCTGCCCTGTGCCCCCGTTCCAGTCTGCGACCCCCCTGCATTTCTACCCTGCTCTGCGACCCCCCAGCCAGCTGAGCCAATGCTTCTTCCGCCTGGCCTGCAGCCTCCCACCCCCTCTGACAATGAACCTCAGCCCCAAATGCTGCCAAAGCAAGACAGCAGCCCTGCTCTCTCCTCTGCAGCGTGGAAACAGAGATGGGGAATCGCCAGGGCTGACAAAGCCGGCACTGGAGGTGGGATGCATCCTCCAAGCTCGGTCACCCGTGGTACAAGCCCTGCTGGATCCCGTCCCACCATCAAGGGCTGTGTCCCTCCCTGCTTCCCATGCATCCGTCTCAGGCACAAAGGAGGCTGGCTGCAAGGCAGTAAGGACTTGAACGCAGATCCGGTGCCACACAGGATGCTGCAGGTACCAGCAGGGCCGGCTTGCCTTGGCAGTCGCTCAGTGCTTGGCTAGAGGCCTGGGTGGCCAGCAGCAGTATTATGAAGCTAAATGAAACAGGGCAGGGTCACCCCTCTGCTACAGCTGGAGGGAGGAGAGAGACCCTGGTGCAGCCTGGAGCCGAGGGGGCAGAGAGGGTCACCTCCGGGCGCTGTGGGAATTGGAAACAAGCGGCGAGGCCTCAGCACCGAGACAGAGCCCCACGAGACACAGTGTCCCGGGGAGTCAAAGGGCTGGTGAGCGAGAGAGGAGCTGAGAGAGGTTCACTTTCACAGTGTGGCCACCTTTGTGGCGTGGCAGAGAGGCAGCCTGCAAAGACCACGGGTTTGCAAGATGCCCGAGGTGCTGGGAACTGTAGTTTCCCAAGGCCTCACATCCCCGCCAGAGAGGAGGGGGATTGCAATCAGTCCTGTTTTCTATGCATGGCTTTCAGATGCCTGACCAGCACCTCGTCCGTGTGCGGTCCAGGCTTGAGGCTGGCCCTGTAAGACTCGGACACAGGCCTGCTGCAGTGAGGAGAACGTGCAAAAGAAACCCATGAAAAAGGACAATCTCAGCATCCACGGAGGGCTAGCTCTGCATGGAGCAGCTCGGCCCCCCTTGGCACCAGCGCTCCCAGCCTGGGCAGGATCTCCTCTCCCCGAGGCACAACGAGGCGCCTTCACACCTGCCCCATGCTGTGCAAAAGGGGAACACGCCAAGGCACCCTCCCGGGCCCCAGCCCCTTCCCCAGGGAGAAGCAGAAGCCCATGCACAGCAGACTCCCGGTCCTCCCCGCGCACCCCAGAGCTGCATGCTCAGCAGCGCGCGTTCCCTGGCCTGTGCTGGAGCTGATGGCCCCCGGCCCTGCCAGACTGGCAGCCTCCCAGCTTTGTTCCTGAATGCAAAGGGCTGGCTGGGCTCCAAGCCCGGCAGACATAACACGCGCACGGCCCAGACACGGAGCACCCCCGGGGACCGTGAGTAAAGAGTTCCACCAGGCAGAGGCCCGCTCCCTGCCAGGAGCCGGCTTTGCCAGGTGCAGAGCGGGGCAAGCCTGTGGCGGCCGAGGAGGCAGCCTCCTGCAGCCCCCTGGACTTTGTCCCATGACCGGCCTGGGGGCAGGATCTCGCTGGGGGAGTCTCGCTTGCTGGTGCCCACCCGTCTCTGCTTAGCCTGTGTCCTCCTCTCAGCTCAGCATCTCCTGCAATGGGCACAGTGCCCCACAGAGCTGGGGAGCAGCTTGGCCTGTGGTGGAGGGCACAGAGACCCCCAGCTCTGCCACTGACCTGCTGCACCACCCTGGGCAAGTCCCTTTGCCTCTGTAGGCCTCACTCCCCAGCGGGTCCTGTGTGGTACTGTGTTCATGCAGTCCCCGGCACAATGGGGCCAGGATCCTGGGGGTATGGGAAGCACATCTTGCAGGCATCGGCCTGCAACATGAAGCCAGTTCCAAGGGGGAGACCCAGCTGGACAAATCCAGGCCCTTTCCTCTCCAGCCTGCTGGGAGGGTGCAGGATTGGTCCTCACACAAGAGCCTCCATCATTTCTGAATGACCCTAGGAATGGGGCATGTGGGCAACATTTCTGATCCCTGCACTCAGCCAGCGCTCACAGTGACCGAAAGAGCATCGCATGCAGATGGCAGAAGCAACCAAGACTGCCATTCATACCCAAGGCAGATCCTAGCACCCCTTAGCTCCCCGATGCCCAAAACAGCGATGATGTCCCAATAGGGAGCCCCAGGCCCCTTCCAACTGAGCTCCCTGCCCGCTTTGCCCTGATTTCCCTTCCAGTTCCTCTCCCCTCCCTGGCCCGCGATGCCCCCAGCACCTGCGTGGTCCGGCGCTCGCTGTCTGCCGACTGGAGGCTTCGCTCCAGTGTTGCCACCTTGTCCAGCAAGGCCTTGCGCTCCCGGTCGTTGCGCCGGAGGGTCTCTTCCTGCAGCATCAGGGCAGTCTGGGCGCTGCTCAGCTTGCCGTCCATGCCACGTCTCCCTGGGGCAGCAAAGGGAGAGCAAGGGGCATGCTGGGCATCTCACGCCAGCTGTGAGCAGGGGGCATGCAGAGTTACATCTCCCCGGGACTATAGGGCCAGGCTGCACTATTGGATAAAGCAGGCAACTGGGGTACAGGACCCTCTGTTCGACTCCGCATCCCTGGTGTGTCTGGAGTGGGACAGGCTCAAGCAAGGGCACTGCCACTCGCACGTGCTGCACCCAGAAATGCTGCTTGGGGGCATCCCTCCATGCCAAATCTCAAGCATGGCAGAGGAGGGTCTCTGTGACTATGGGGGAGCGCCGGTAGCCGGAGGGGGTAAGTGAGGTATGATTGGGAGACTCCTTCCCCAGGTACCCAGGGATGCGGTATAGACATGCTGGGGCTGGGGTGAGACTCTAAAGGAGGCCCATGTCCCTAGGAGGAGGCAGTGTGGTTAGGGGCACTGGGCTTTCTCCCTAGCACTGGGCCAAATCAATTCATCTCTCTGCACCTCAGTTGCTTTGTCTTTAAAATGGGGATAATCGCACTGAACGAGGGCAAGGCTGGGAGCAAGGTGTGCTGAGAAGTCCTTTGAAATGGTTCAGGGTGGCTGCACACAGGTGGGACCACCAAGCATGGCCATGCACGCATGCCTACAACACACCTAGCCCAGCCGCGTCCTCACCTTCCTCACTCTCAGCCACCAGCTTCTGCAGCTGTTGCACTCGCGCGCTGGCACTGTCCCGGTCCGACTCCATCTCCGCCAGCTGCCGGGTCAGGCTGCTCAGGCGGGCCCGCAGGTCGTCCTGGATCAGAGAACGGCACCATCAGCCAGCAAAAGCCACACAGCCGCTTGCAGGGGGTGGACAAAGCACTGTGGCTCAAGCAGAACTGCCCACCCCGGGCACCCCCAGCCCTTCTCCCCACCCTCAGTCCCCCGTGCCGGTACCCGCTCTCGCTGTGTCTCCCGCAGCTCCTGCAGGAAGTCCCGGAGGGCCGCCCGCACCACGTCGGGGTCAATATCCGCCACCAGCTGCTCGCTGCGGCTGGGGGGGGAGGGGGGCTCCCGGGGGGGGGGGGGGGGGGCGGGCTCGCGGCGGCTGGGGGAGAAGGGGCGCTCCGGGGAGAGGGGGCGGGAGCCGGGGCTGCCCGCCTGCGGCATGGGGCTGGCGTGTCCATCCGTGGGGCTGGAAGCAGCATCGCCTGGAGGGACGGACACCAAAGGCCCTGCTGAGAGGTGAGGGGCCGGGGCTGAAAACAGCACTCGGTGTGCCTTAGCGCTTCGCCAAACGTTGGCTCTAAGGGCTCCTTCTCCTGGGGTCCCTCCTAGCTACGTGTGACCCCCAGGGACTGACCCCACCTCTCGACCCAGCGAGACCAGCCTGCCACATCCTGGCTGGAAAGAGCAATGGTGACAGGCAAGGGACAGGACTTGGCTGACCAGCCAGGAGTCTGGGCTCCACCTGCCGATGCCGCTTGCACCCGGGGAGGGCAGACCCGGGGCAGTTACCTCTTGGGGGAGAGAAGAGTCTCTTTGGGGAGCTGCTACGGCCCCGGATGGCGGGGCTGGGGGCTCGGCCCCCGCGGCTGACGCCCATGGTGCGCCGCAGGGCCGAGTGCAGGCTGCCCAGCTTGAACTCCACGTCCCGTTTCAGCCCCTCCACGCGCACCAACTCGGCCTCCAAGCCGTGGACGCGGCCCTCGGCAGCGCTCAGGCGCAGGCTCAGCTCTGAAGCCTCGGCCTGCGCATTGTCCAGCTTGATCTCCAGGTTGCGGGCATTGTCCAGCAGCTTCTTCTCATTGCCGCGGGCCTCCTCCAGGCTGCCCAGCAGGTCCTTCTCCCGCAGGCGGAAATCGCCCTCCAGCTCCGACAGCTTGCGCTGCAGGTTGTGGAGCTGGGGAGACCGGGGAGAGGCTGGGTTGAGTCTAGATGGACCCGGGCTGGCTGCCCCCACCTTGCAGTCTCCTCCGTGAAAGCCACGTGCCGTCCCAGCCGTGCCCTCCCTCCAGCGAGACGTGGTCTGCACCGTGATGGAGCTCGACCTGCCAGATGACTTGACCTGATCTCTACGCCTGCCCCAGCTCAGCCAGGAGCTCCAGTGGGGAGGGATCCCTGGGCATGGTGCCCCAGGCCTGTCTCGCCCCCAACAAGAGGCCAAGTGGGGTTCGGCATCCGTGACCCTCTTTAGTCGCAGCCCTTCAGGGCTGCATCTGGGCTATTGCACAGCGTCACCGTGGCTGGTGACAGAGCAGGGGAAGGGCGCAGAGGACACTCACCTCCTTCTTGGCAGACTCCCTGCTGGCTTCGCTCTCCACGATCTTCTGCTTGAGGCCGAAGGACTCCCGCCGGGTCTCCTCCTCCCGCTGCTCATCCACGGCCACCCGGGCCTGCAGCTCGGCCACCTCCTTGCTCTTCTTGGTGTTCTCGCTGTCCAGCATCTTGATCTGGCAGAAGTGTGGGGGCACCTGTTAGCACCTCTGCAGAAAGATGCAGCAGGCAGGGACCGACCAAGAGCAGAGCAAGCAAACATGGACAATGCCAGCTACCGCCGTGGTTGCAAAGGTGGCTTCTAAGACACCCCAAAGCCCCCTCTGAGCTGCAGATGCCCCCCATGCTTGGTCCCAGCAGCCCAGAAGGGCACCACAGCCATTGCCCAGGTCAGTAGTCTGCGCACCTGTCTGCGCAGCTCCTGCAGCTCCCTGCGGGCCTCCAGCCGCGACCGCTCCACCTCCTGCAGGCTGCTCCTCAGGTCGGCGGCCTCCTTGCCCACCGCGGCCCGAGCCTCTTCCAGGATGGACATCTTCTGCTCCTTCTCCTCGTTGGCCCGCTTCAAGCTAGGGGTCGAGATGCAGGAGCCCGTGAGACCCCAGGGGACGGCACCGAGCTGTCCCTCTCGCCAGCGCCGTCCTCACCCACCTGATGCGGTCGCTCTCCGCTCGCTTCACGGCGGCCCGCAGCTCCTGGTTGGAGCGCTGCATTGCCTCCTTCTCCTTGGCCTCGTCGCTCAGGCTGCGCCGCAGGTCCTGGATCTCCTTCCGCTGCAGCTCGTGGCCCTCCAGGCTCTCCCGCACCTTGCGGTGAGCCTCGATCAGGTCCCGGCGGATGCCATCCCGAGCATCCTCCACCATGCGCAGCTGCGTCTTCAGCTCCTCCACCTGATAGCACAGAGCATGGCTTCTGGGTGGGGGTCTCCAGTGCACTGGACCCCACTGTGACAGCCTCCTCGGGCACAGCCCAACAGCAGGCATGGGGCACCACGTGGCCGAGCCACGCTCAGCAGCAGACTTGAGGTAAGGGGGGGGCGGGTCTGGCCTCACAGCATGCTTGGATTTGTAGTGCCATGCAGGTGGGCACCTCTACTTTACAGGATCCTGGCAAGGATCCCCCCGTTCAGTTCTAGTTGCACCCTAGGCAACTCCATCGTGCCTCCCCTGCACCCAGGCACGGCCCCCCAGCCTCCCCCGGGCCCGTGCTCACCTCCCGGACGCTGCTCTCTCGCTGCCTGCTCAGGTCCTTGGCCTGTTCGTGCAAGCCCTTCACCTCCCGCTCGTGGGCCGCGATGGCTTCCTCGAACCGTGCCCGCAGGTTCTTCAGCTCCGAGGTCAGGCCGTTGATGGTGCTCTGAGGGCCAGGAGGGAACCGGTCCTTAGCAGGCTGGATGAGTTCCCAGCAACCATGCTAAGGACCACTGCTTTTTCACACGCCAGGTTGGCATCAGGCACAGGAACGGGGACGTCCTCAGCGCCCACAGAGCAGCTCTTTGCAAACACTCCAGGTAAAGCAAGATGGGTCACGAGAGCATCGGCCTCAATGGACCTCGAGCCACTGCGTACGCGAGCTATTGCCAATGCACCGCACCAGCCAGCACAACAGCCAGGCTTTGTAATGGGAGGGAGCTGCAGCATGTCAAAGCGGGGGGCCAGGATAACGGCGGGTACCGGTGCCACTGGCAGGGGTGCGGGGGTTGCAATTCAAATGGGAGGTGACTTGGTTTCTGGGACAGACTCACTGAAGGGTCAAGGCTGGGCCATGAAACCTGTGCCATCGCCTCGCACCTTCTCTCCCAGCCACTGGTGCCGGCAGGAGGCAGGGGAGAGTCTATCATCCCTGCCCATGTCCACCCATCCCTGGTGCCCACACAGGATCCCCCGGCCCACACCACCCACCCTGTCCTGCTCCTGCCGGCTCATGGCATCTCGCTTCTGCCGCTCCATCTCCAGGGTGACGCCGGTGAGGCTCTGCTGAACGCCGTTCAGCTTCTCCGACAGGATGGTCTTCTCCGACTCCTTAAGAGACAGGGCCTAGGAGGGAGGGGAAAGCAGTGTCAGGGCTGTCTCTTCTACCTGGGCCCCGTGCGTTGGAGCTGGTGTGGCTGAGGAGGCCAGGACCAGGCAACGGGCGGCTGGGCAGAGGTAGTGACAACCCTCCCTCCTTCATCCCATAACCGGGTACCCTCCAGGATCTGCCCCTCAGGGCTGGGTCCCACTCTGGGGTGGAACTGGGGGGCGCTGAGCATCTCTCGTGCAGGGGGACCCGCTCCCTGCCAGGTGTCCCCCACCTGCTGCTTCTCGTTCTCCGCCAGCAGAAGGCTCTCATCCCGCTCCTGCTGCAGCGCCGCGATCTCCTCGCTCAGCTCCTCCTTCTCCGCCTCGTAGCGGGCCAGCAGCTCGTCCCGCTCCTGGGCCAGGCGGTGCAGCGCCTCCTCCTTCTCCGCCTCCAGCTCCAGGCGCTGCGTCTCCTGCAGGGACCGAGCAGCGGGTGCAAGTCAGGGTCCCCCCAACAGACCTCACCCCTTGCAGAGCCTGCCCTGGAGCGCTGCTCTCCACCATGCGGGCCCCACGCCAGCCTGGTCTCAATAGGCTCTGCACCCCCAGGGTTCATGTCCAGGGCCTGGATGGGGACATGAGTGGGTGGTTTCTTGCACCTGTTTCTGATCCTGAGGAAGCCTCATCCCCCTGCTCTATCCCCGGATAGCTCTGCCGATGCCCCTCACTCCTAGCCTGCAGCACCCCCTGCTATCCCAGCCTTTGGCCATCGCCCTGGCTTCCCATCAGCCCATCCAGCATTGCACTAACAGCTCCACTGAGCCACCAAGCGAACGCCCAGAGCACAGCAGGGCTTGGGGTTTGCAGCCCTGTGCTCCGGCTCTCAGCACTGGCCGCCTTTCCATACTTGAATCAATAAGCGACAGCCATCGGCTGTCACAGATTGGTACCCAGCGGGAGACGTGAAAGCTCCCCTGAGACATTCCCACTGCTTCCAGGGAGCTCCAGATCCACAAGCATGTGGGCAACATGGTTTTCCCGGCATGGTGGGAGCCTGGTGCTGATAGCGCTGCACTCGGAGGCAGACCAAAACCCCCAGCCCTGCACCTTCTCCCTCTGGAGACGATCCATGTCCTCCTCGTGAGCCGCCTGCTCGTTCCTCAGCGTGACCTGGGCCTCCTGCTCCGTCTGAGACAGCTTCTGAGCCAAGAGCTCCTTGCCCCGCTCCAGCCGGGTCACGTCTGCCTCCAGCTGCTTCCGGGCGCCAGCCATTTCCACTACAGACAAAGCAACCCAGTCCTGATTGAGGCCCTTCCCAGCTCAGGTACCTCCGGAGCTTCCCCAGGCACTAGGGAACCACGGTCCCCCCAGTGCTGTCCTATATGTTGCACTTCTATGGGGCACTTCAGCCACAGAGTGGGGCTCCTTGCCTGGACCTCCCAAGGGCACTGAGAAGGATGCAATTAGGTCTTTGGGAGCAGCAGGTACTCAGCACCCATGTGAAATCAGGCCCAAGGTCACTCAGCAATGCAGTGGCAGAGGCAGAAGTCCCCCCCCCATCACCTGTCTCCCACCCGCTGCCTCGTGATTCAACCACCAGCGGCACCTCGGAGAAGGGAAAGGAGGGAAGCGGGGAGAGGCGGCCGTGCCCGGGTTACCCTGCAGCGTCTCCTTGGCCAGGAACAGGGCCTGGTTGTCTGCCTCCAGCTGCTCCTTGCGCGCGGCCAGCTGGGAGAGCTGCTGCTGGATCTCGAACAGCGTGGTCTCCAAGGCATCCTTCTCCGACCTGGGAAACAACCCGCAGAGAGGGAGGGGAGTGCTCCGGCTGGTCCCCCAGCCGCCCTCCTATCAGGCTGCCCTAGGAGCCCTTTACCACCCATCCCTTCCCAGGTGAGAGGGGACAAGCACCCCCGAAACTGTGGAGCGAGCTGCTTTGCTGATGAAACACCCCTGCTACAGCCTCTGACCGCTCAACATGACAGGGCAGCTCATGGCACGGGGGCCTGGCCCACCCCCTCTGTCCCCGGCAGGGTCAGGGGCTCCCTGCTGCAGGCCATGCAGCTGGTGAGGGATTAATGAGGACTTGCCAGCTCCTCAATCTCAACCAGAGGGAGGGGAGCGCGTGTGCACAGTGTCAGGAGCAAGGTGACGCGCACTGACCTGCCTCCGCACCGTGACATCCTTCACGGCTCTCCCAGCCCAGCAGCTCTGCGAGTCCCGGCTTCCCCGCGCCCATTGCAACCGTTTGCAAACACCGCTCCCTAGTAACCGGCTTTCCCGGCCCGCAGTGCCCTCCCCGCCTCGCCGGATGGCCGGACACCCGACTGCTGCAATGCACCCCTGTGCTCCTCAGGCCTGGGGCTCTGCCTTGTAGCTGGGGCGGTTTCCCTGGGATCCCAGCCCTATGGATGCAAGCTGCCGCAGTCCCAAGTGCAGTCTGCAGGCAGTGAACACCCCCAGTTGTGTTTAGGGGCGATACCTGCCTTGCCCCCGGCTGGTCCCTGCCACCCTCCCTGCAGACTAAGGGGGCTGCCGGGGGCTCTGCATGGCTGTGCTGAGGCTAAGGAGAGGGGACAAGCTCCCAGGGAAGAGAGGAGGGATGTGGGCTGGTCCAGCCAAGCCATCATCCTTCTCCAGCTCCACTGATCCAACAAGGCGACAGTCCCCAGGCAAGGGGGACCTTAAGGCCCTACCTGAGCCCAGCGATCTCCTCGGCCAGCCCCCTGTTCTCCCGCTCCGAGGCCGTCAGCTGCACCGCCAGGCTGGCCTTCTCCTTCATCAGCCCCTCCTTCTCCTTGGCGGCGCGCAGCAAGGCTTCGCCGTGCCTATCCTGCTCCCTCCGTGCCTGCGCCAGCTCCTCGCTCGCTGCCGTCTTCTGGCGGGACAGCTGGGGGGAAGAATAGGCATGGCCAACCTCCAAGGGGCATGGGGAAGGCTCCAAGCTGCCCCGACCCACAGCAAGGTGTTGCTCTGTGTCCCCCATCAGAGGATCCATCTCATGCACTCGCTGGCCCCCTGCTCCTGGGCTCTCCCTGGCACCGTCAGCAGCCCCCCACATCCCGACTCCTAGTTCTCCCTGGCATCCTGGGACAACTGCCCCCCGCTCCCCTTACCTGCCCCAGCTGCTCCTGCAGCTGCCCCCTCTCCCGCTGCAGCACCAGCAGGTCTCGCTCCAGCTTGTCCCGGCTCTGCTCTGCCGCCTGCAGGGAACGGCCCAGCCCCTGCTTCTGCGTGTCCAGGTCCAGCTTCTCCTGCTCCAGCCGCACCAGCTCCTCACGGAGCGAGATCTTCTCCTGCTCCACCCCCTGCTTCTGCTCCAGCAAGGCCACCTTCTCCTCCTCCAGCTGCCGGGTGGGAAAGAGCATCACGGCTCCCTCCCTAGACACAGACGCTCGCCCCCTCCTCGCTGTGAGCCGCTGGCTGGCTCTTCCTGCAAGGACCTCCTTATTGCACCCACCTCCTCCTGATCCTTTCCCAAGGGGCTTAGGAGAGGAAGGGGCTCCCTGAGAACAGAGATGCCCCTGCCTTCCAGGCTGAGGCTACCAGCTCAGCTCACCACCCCAAGGAGGTCTCGGGACCTGGGCTGTTGTGACCCCCACGGCCACCTACCTGTACGAGGATCCTGTTGAGCTCGGTTTTATCCTGGGCCAAGCCCTCATTCAGGGAGCTCATCTTGGATAGCGAGTCGCGCAGAGAAGCCTCCTCCGCCTTCAGCTTGTTGATGGCGAGCTCCAGCTCGGCTCGGCTCACCTCCGCCTGGGTTGGGAGAGAGAACAGCGCCGGGGTTGAAGGGCATGATGCTGGGACCACTCACTTCAGCTCCAAGCAACGGGCCTGGGGTCAGTGTTATGGGGTCCGGAGGAAGAGGAGCAGGGCTGTGTTAGGGATGATGGCAGTTTTACGAAGAGGTTCGATGATGGGTTGGTCTGGCCGGGGTTGGACTAGATGTGACCAGCCCCACTTCTCTAGGAGATCTATCAGGCTCACCGCACTTCATCGCTCCTGGCTTTGCAGATGGCAAAACCAACTCAGAGAGAAGATCAATAAGCTGCCCAAGGTCCCACCGCACACCCAGGGCAGTATTACTATTTGTAGTGCAGTGGGAGTCCCAACCCTGGACCAGGCCTGTGCTAGGGGCTGTACAAACACCGAACGCATATATCATCCTGGATGCAGCACCCTGAGCTGCAGTCTCTCCTCCGAAGTGCTTACTGTCTACCAACCGCAGAGCACAAGAAGCAACGTTATGAGCCAGCTCAATTGCCTCTCTTCACCCCCAAATTAACCCTGACTCATCTTAATCTGGACCCCACAAGTCCTCGCGTACCTTGGAAAGAGCCTCCTCCAGCCCCACCTTCTCGTTCTCGGACACCTCCTTCTCCAAGGTGGCCCTGTTCAGGGTTTCCTTAACGAGGATAAGCTCCTTCTTCAGGCTGGATTTCTTCACTTCCAGCTGTTCCAGCTGCTTGTGACTGCGAGGTCGGGGAAAAAAGGAAACTGCACAAAGCCCCACATGGGATCTAAACTGTTCTGGGGCCAGGGCAGGTATTCAAGCCGTCTGGGCTGATGCAGGAGGAGCATCTCAGGGAAGTGTCAAGCCCTGGGATCTAATGGGCTAATATTGGTCTAATCTAATATTACACACACACACACACACACCACATAGAGCTAGAAGGTTATAGCACATGCAACGAATCCTAGCGAAAACAAAGAGTGATCGGCCACTTTATGGTGCTCTCATGCCAAAATAGCTACTTTAACCCTCTCAGTCTTTCAGAGTCCTGCAGGAGAGCCACCCCAGACTAATCCCGCAATGATTTATCCCTCCCTCTCCAAACAGGGCTGGTTCAATTCAGTCCAGGACCCAGCAGGAAGAGAGCAGAAAACCGCCCAGAAGAAAGGGCTGCTTTTCTGGAAGGAAAGTATAAAAGTCTCTCAGAGAAACTAGAAATGGGAGAGGGGAACAGCCCCTGAATCAGAACTTCCTAGACTTCAAATGCACCCACCCTCTCAGGACTCATGGTAGAGGTGATATCTTTTATTAGACCAACTAGATTTTTTGCAAAACAAAATTCTTTAATCTAAATTAAAATTGAAAAAATTCTTTAATTGGGGGAAAAAAACCCAAGAATAGTTCTTTGCAAAGAACTAGTTGGTCTAATAAAAGATACCACCCCTACCACAAGTCCTAATTGCTTTTTCCTCTAGACCAATATGGCTACAACCTGGATACCCACCCTCTCTCCACCTCCTTCTGCGCCCGGTCCTTGTCCTTAGCCACGTCGTCCTTCTCGTCCTCCAGGTTGTCGCGCTGGCGCTGCAGGTCGGCGTTGGCCAGCTGCAGCTTCTCGTTCTCCTGCCGCAGGGACTCAACGTGCTGCTGGAGGGCCTGCAGGCTCCTCTCCAGGGTGCTCTTCTCACTGATGCGGATGCACAGACAGGACAAATTGCTGAGCATTTCTCAAAGGAAGAAAATTAACTTCTTCCTCACTGGTGGGCCAAAGAAACTGCCTCCTTAGGCCAGGATCCTGCCCTCAGCTGCCAGGCAAAGTGCCCTCCTAGCACCTAAGCTGGGAGGGTGCAGACGTGCACTGACGTACCTGCCCAAGAGGTCAACTGAGGCACGGAAGCGGCCGACATCCTGCTGGGCGTCCTCCCTGGCTCTGGAAGAGCAGTCCACCTCGTCCTTCAGCTGCAAGATCTTCTGCTCCAGGGAGCGCCGCTCGCCGTCGCTCTCACCCAGCTGCCTCCGCAGGGAGCTCACCAGGTCTTGGCTGGCTTCGTACTTGCTCCGGATGTCCTGGCAGAGACCGACGAGCCATAGGGCACTGGGACAGCCAGCCAGGCTCCCCAGCAAACCACCATCTCCCATGGCATCTCCATCTTGCCCCCTGTCCTAGAAGAGCCCCACCCTACACGGAGGCTGCATGGGGGTCCCAGCCCCGTATCGATGCTAGCACTCCTGCAGAAAAACCCATGGGACTGCCACACGGTCAAGTTGAAGCTGGATAGAAAGCAGCTATAAAGTTGATATACATTCCCAAGCACTAACTTTGCAGCTGGTTGGCTCTTTTTAAGAGCTGGGTGGCCATCTTGGCATGATAATTACTTCACGTGCAAGGCCAGTCTAAATCTGTTGAGCAATTAATCAGTGAATTGCATGATAATTGCTTTGCATGTGTGGCCAGGCTAAATGTATTGCACGGCTGACCAGTGAATTGTGTAATATATGTAAGGTATGGCAGAGGCCCAAGTCCCATCGCGCCATCCACCCCCACAGACCCCTCTCCCAGCAGAGGAACCCCACAGACCCACACTCCCCTCGTGGACTCCAACGGGCCCCACAGAAATGCCGCCCCAGGAGCCAATACCCCACCGGGCAGCAGCCCTGCCCTGCCACCAAGGCAGAGACAGCTGGGGGCACCTGGAACGTGTCCGAGATGAAGTCTTACAGCCCTGGAGGCTCCTCACCTGCACCTGGAGCTGCCTCTTTTGCAGCGCGGAGTGCACGGCCGCCAAGGTGGAGTCGGAAACGGCCGGGGAAAGGCTGCGGCGCGGGGAGGAGCGCCGGAGCGGGGACGGGGTGCGCAGACTGGACGACAGGCCCCGCAGGCTGAGCCCCGTGGCCTCGCTGTCCGAGGCGTCTGGCGTGCGCTCAGTGCCGGTGAGCTGGATGGCGCTGTCCGTGTCCGAGAGGACGGCCTGTGGTGGCGAGACCCAAGCCAAGTCAAGGCACGGCTCTGCCACGCGGGTCTCCACACACCCATCCTCTGTGTCGTGGGAACCCACAAGGTAAGACGGCTGGCTGGCTGCCAGGCCAGTGACTGCAACACTCAAATTCACCCACCCTGCAAAGTGCTGCAAACTTGAGGGGCTGCGGGTCAGCAATCCATTATTTATCCATTGATTATACCAAATACTAACAAGAGTTATAACAATACTACAACTGACTGCGTATAGCACCAGGGACCGACCTCGCAGGGCCCCTTTGCTGTGCATCTCCAAACACACACGTCACGGGGTGAAAGGAGCTTCTGGGTGTTGCTTGAGCTCCACAGAAACTCGCCTCCCAGCTCTGCTCTTTTAACCCACTACTTAATTTGCACTGAACATCAGTTTGCTACGATTCATTTCTCTGGACTCCAGTGCTCCTATCGCAGGCTCTCTGCCTGGCACCGGACACGCACAGGACAAGCAGCTGATCCCTGCCCCCAGTCGCTTATAATCCAACTCCTCACATGGTTAGTTAACATTTCCAAACCCACTGGGGGATTTCTGTACGTCAAGAATACAACGTGAAGCATATCTACATCCACAGAGATGCTCACGGATACATCAAAGTGCTTTGCAAAGGTCTTATCCATGGCTTACAGAGGGGAAACTGAGGCACAAAGCAGCGAAGCAAGGTGAGGGCTGGCAGCAAGTCTGCGACAGAACCAGGACTATAACCGCAGTCTCCTGGGTCCGCGCTTCTTCTGAATATTGTGCACCCACTGCTCGTTGGGTGATAAAACTACCCAGAGGAGAGACACGTACTCCCGCCAGTCACCCCTGCCCCGTACCTGCGCCAGGTCCCGCAGCGTCTGCTGCAGCAGCTCCGACTCTGTCCGCAAGGCCTCGATCTCCTCGGCCTCCATCACTGCCTGCTCCCGTGCCCGAGTGGCCTCCTACAGACAGAGACACGGTGTCAGCAGCCGGCGAGTCATGAGGCTGCTGTGCAGGGGGCACACGGGTCGTCTCCAGCCCCGGGGGGAGGCAGCCGTCCAGGTGCTGCCCGCGCAGGTGCTCTCGCTGCCCGCGACCCGCCCCGACGTCTCACCAGGGTCTCCAGCTTCTGCGTCAGGACCTCCGCCACCTTCTCCTTCTCTGCATTTTGGGTTTTCAAGCTCTCCACCATTGCTGCCAGCTCTGTGACCCTGCAGACAGCCCAGGGGAGGGAGGAAAAGAGATGGGGACAGGGCATCACAGGGGCAGGACATCAATGGGTCAGGGCCAGTCCAAGCCAGCTACAAGCCACCTGTGCCACCACGTTGCTGGGGACAGGCTGGGCTCAGCGTGGCCTGGCCCATAGACCTGCAGACAGGTCCCTGTGCTCGTGGTTTGACAGCTGCCCTGTGATCCCCTGCACCCACAGCACCACGAAGCCAGTCCACAGGCCCCTTCTTGAGCTCTGGCACATGGCACCGAGCTCGCCGGGAGGGTATCTGGTGAGAAACTGCACCGTGCCTTGGGGGAACCCAAAGGAAAGGCTTTGCAGGGAGCTCCTGCTTTGCTGGCATTGGCCTGGCAAGGGTTAAGTGGGCCTAATCCTCCAGAACAGCTGAGATTTGGGGGCTCCAGGGCTGCCCTCTGCCATACGCAGCTCATCAGCCCCCACCTGCTTAGCCAAGCTGGCTGGAAGAGCAGGACCCCTGATCCCACCCCCACCATAGTGCCCCCTCCTAGTTCTGGGACCTAGCCCATGATCGGGGGGTCTGTACCTGGCGCTGAGCTCTGCCTTCTCCATGTCACACTTGACCTGCAGCTGGATCATGTCGCGCACCTTGTCCTTGAGCTGCTCCTCTATCTGGGCCAGCAGCAGGGCCTGCTTCTCCAGGGCCGCGCCGGCGCTGCTCTCCGACAAGCGCAGGTTGCTGCTCAGGTTGAGGCAGGAGGCGTGGATGGTGCGGCTGGCCTTGGACACCTGGCTGCTCAGCTCCGACAGGTCCCTGCCCGGTCACGGAGAGGTGGTGAGGCCTCTCGCCCACCAGACCCCCGTGCCTGGGTCTCCCGTACAGCTCTCACTAGGGCAAGGAGGTTTGGGGAGGGGGTCACTGTACCCCCGGGCAGAGCCCACGGAGGGCATTAATCAGGCTGAGCTGCCCAGCCTGGGTCCCCACAGGAGCTCTGCTCCCCCTTTTCTGTTCCTCACCCTCAAGCTATTCCCATAGACACCCTCTAAGAGACGCTGTAGGCAACACGGTTCTGGGTAGCACAGTCTTTTGCAATGGATGGGAAGAAAAAACAGCCCAGCAGGCCCCAGCACCAAGCAGATCTCCCGCCCCAGCAGCTGCCCGGACCTCTCAGTCATGGTCTTCATCTCGCTGAAGTGCCGCCGGAAGCCCACGACCTTTCTCCAGAGGGTCAGCAGCCGGCTGTGCTCGTTGCTGAAGTAGGTGTTGAACGACTGCGAGGGGAAGAGGAGGGGAAGGAGTGACCCCTGTGCATGCATCTCTGATGGTGCAAAGACCCCTTTCCACCGGGAGAGCTCAGACAGGGAGCAGGGGAACAAGCCATGAGCCCTGCACCCTGTCTGCAGGATGGATCCAGTGAACTCAACTGCCCACAAGCAGATTATCCAGGGTGCCCTGCAGAGCTCCAGCCCAGGCTGTGCTCTTCATAACCGTGAGGCCCTCACTTTTAATCCCAGCAGAAGCCCTGCTCCCCATCCATCCCACCCACTGCAGCTGGCTCTACCCAGCTCCGTGCAGACGGCAGCATGGCATGCAGCACGAGACGTGCCCTTTGGACAGCAATGACTGGCCCAGAGACAAGGAAGCACAGCGAGCCCTGGGTCCAGGGGAAGCCTTTGTGTGTCGCTACCACCATGCCGGTGACTGCGGCGTGGGAGAGATCCCAAGTCCAGCTCCCAGCACGTGCTATGGTGGGGGGCTCTGGGTTACTGGGACCAGCTCAGCACCCACGTGCTTGGTGCCAAGGCAGAACACCCTCGCCAGCACTGACCTCCTCCTCTCGGCGCCACTCCACCTCCCGCTGCTCCAGCTCGTCACGGGCTTTGGTCCAGTCGGCCGTCAGCTTCCGGATGTCCTCGCTGAGGGCCTGGTTGGCTGTGTTGGCCTGGTCCAGCTGCTCCCGCAGCATGGCATTGACCTGAGCCAAGCTGGCACTCCTAGAGATGGGCACCCAAGGAGAGAGCCTCAGCACAGAGCCCTGGGCCCAGGAGGACAGGAGACAGCCAAGAAGTGGGAAGGGAATAAGCGCACCTTGCACTTCACAACCCTCTGCACACACCAACCAAGGCTCCCAGGAGGCTCAGAGGCACCCTTCCACCCACCCCAGCCATGCAGCTGTTTCTGGGGTGCAGCCTGGAAGCCGTGCACAACAGCTGAAGATGGGAAGTGCGGCTCAGCATGGGTGGGCCAGTGGGCCCGCACCGATTCCCGGAGAGACTGCCAGCCACTGGGCCACTCGCCAGTGCTGACTGCAGCCCCTGGGCGCTCCTAGGAGGTCTTCCACCCATACGGACCCAAGCCAACTCTGCTTAGCTTGCGACAGGATTGCACACCCCGGATGGCCCAGCTCCGGCGAGTCCAGCCTGCTGCAGCCTCTCCACCTCGGGCCCCAGGAGTTCAGCCCCGAGGACGGGCCCCGTCCTTCCCCAGCCCCCGCCCAGGTGATTCCTCCCCCCACACCTTTGCTGCTCCTCTTCCAGGCGGATGAGTGCGTTCTCCAGGTCGTTGCTGTGCTCCTCCTCCAGGCACAGGCGTGAGTCCGTCATGTCCAGCTGGCTCTGGGCGCAGGGAGAGAAGTGCCGTGGGCCAGTGAGATCGGGGAAGAGGTGCCCGGCTAAGCCTGGATCCACGTACCCATGCCACATGGGATGGTGAACCCACTGCCCCTGCCAACCTGACTTGGGGGAGACCCTTCCAGACCCCAAATGACTATAGAGCCAAACCAGGCACTTGCCGTGAGTCTCTGCTGCTCCAGCTCCGTGGACTTCTCCAGCAGCTGCTGCTCCACCTCCCCGCACTTCTTCTTGTACTGCAGCACCTGCAGGGAGGGGTGCAGCTCAGCCCCAGTGCATGCTCCATCCCCAAGCCCCTCTCAGCTTCCCCCTCCGCAGCACGGTACCTGCTCTCCCTTCCACACCCCTTCGCCACCCCTCAGCCAGCTCCCGCTGCTGCCTGATGTCTCGACCACCTTCGGCTGAACCCCCACAACAGACCTGCCCATCCCACATGGGTCTCTGCTCCCCGGGGGAGGACCCCAGGGTAGGGACAGGCTGGGGGATTAGCACCTCTACCCCATGGCAGGAAGTCTGTGCCGGTCCCAGAGCAGGGGCCGGGTCTCCTCCACCCCAGAGGCAGCTGCACTCGTGGGTGCCGTCAACATGCAGCTGCCGCCACAGCACCCCACACTGCAAAGCGCCCGAGACACCAAGGCTCAGCCTGCCGTCCTCTTCTCCCGACCGCTCAGATTGGAGCCCAGATGCCCCCTGAGCTGTCCCGCAGAGGCACAAGCTGCATTAAAGCCCCCAGAATCCAAAGGCAGCTCAGAAAGGTCTTTATTTTCCCCGCAGCTCCGCACTCCTCACCCCACCCAGATGCACCCTCCCCTGGGACCCCAGCTTTCAGAGCACCCAGTCCCAGCTTTATGCCTTCCCTCCGGCGCAGGGGAGCTTCCCTTTCCCCACATGCCAAGAGATCATGCACACACAGGGACCCTCAGAGCACGGGGTCTCGCACGCGGATCCGGTGCGGGCCGCTCACCTTTGCTTGCAGCTTCTGGACCAGCTGGGCCTGCCGCTGCTGGCCCTCCTGGTAGGCCTGGAGCTTGCGTTTGTAGGCAGCCTGCTCCTCGTCCAGGCGGCGCCGCAGCTCCACGTTCTGCTGCGCCAGGCTCTTGTTCTCCAGCGACTCTCGCTCCCGCTCCCCGGTCTCCAGCCGCAGGGCCTGCTCGAGCTGCGCCCCGAGAGATGGGGAGAGGGTGGCTGCAGGCATCCACTCCACCCCTTCCCCAGTCCCTTGGAGAAGGATGAACCCCCCGCATCACCACCTCCCCAGGGGCCAAGCTGAAGAGCCAGGGGTGGCTCGAGTGCCGTGGTCCACATATCAATGCACTGCCAGGCCAGGGCAGCACGATCACTATGTGCTTGGTGGTAGCGCCCAGATGCTCCAGACACAAACTACAGCGCCGTGGCGCCTGGTGCTGCACAAACACAGAGCGAAGGCACAGCCCTTCCTGGATGAACCGCGCATCGAGCTAAACATCGCGCAGCTCAGGCGGGAACCCAGCTCCGCACGCAGGGGGACCACAGAGGGTCTCGCTGATGCATGTCAGCAAAAACAAGCTGCATTTGGAGACAGGCCCTTTTCCTCTGCAGCCGACTCCGTTTCTGAATCTCCTTTAGGGCCTGCGTGTGCAACCCATACACACAGACCCATGCACATCAGCTTTGCTCACCCACATAAATCAATCCGGAGCAGACGGACGAGCTAGCCGCACGCAGCAGGCATGACTAGAGGGCCTTGCTCCGAAGGGGCTGCTTTGCTCAAGCTAGCAGCTACTCCGGGGTAAACCAGACACACTGTCACATGGTGCATCTCAAACCAGTGGAGTTTTACCTTGATTCCTTCAGGTGTAATTCCCCATAGGATGGGGCAAGGTTACCTAGGGAAGGGATATGTGTTGCCTGTGTGCTGCTGAAACAGCTATAAATGTGTTGTGTCCAAGCCCCGTTTCAGCAGCTGAAAGTGCAGTCAGTGCCGAGGCACCCCCCCAGCATGAGCCTGGGCTCCTCACAGGCTGGGGGCTGCAAACGGTGTCTCTGCAGCAGACAAGTCTCAGAGCCGAGCCCCCCAGGCTGCAGTTGTCCCGCTTTGGATCCGGAGCCCCACTAGCCACGCGCTCACTGCACCTGCCCCAACACCGCCATGCTGCAGCTGCATTCGCCCCTCTGATGGACCATTCCCCACTAGCTCCAGCCTCCCCCATGCACTGCAAGCGGTGCCCAGCCAGCTGCACAGCAGGCAAAGGTCTGAGATACCAGTGACAACTTATTATCTGTAGATGCTCCTGAAAGAGAGACCCCGGCAGAAGTTGGGGGCCTGTCAAGCTAAGCACTGAATGCACCGTTAGTAGCAGACTATCCCCAGCCTGTATAGTTTATGGTCTAAATAGATATGATGGGAGGAAAAAAGGAGGCAGGGATAGGGGAAGTGACCGGCTCAAGGTGACAATGCAAGTCAGTGGCAGAGCTAGGAATGGCACCCACCTTTCCACTGCACTGCACTGCCTCGCTTGGCCTCAGCTTCCATCCACCAGCCCCGGGTCAGCTAATCCACCAGCCCCAGGCACGCAGCATGTTCTGGGAGCGTGCCCAGCACAGCTGGGACAGGCCACCCCGGGTCAGCCTGAGCTGCTTACCATTTGGTTCCTCCTTCTCAGCTCCATCTCCTGCCAGCGATGGGTGCCCAACCCCTGACAGCTCCAACTGAGGGCTTGCTCCAGCTTTCGCAGCAAAAGACAGGGCGAGATCAGTGTGTGGCATCACCCCCTTCCACCCCCCACAACCCCACACAAGGAGCCCGAGGGGCACAGCTAGCCGGGTGCATGCTCTCCTGGCGTCCGACACCACGCTGCAAACCCACCCATGCACACGACACGGCAACGGCACGCCATGCAAGGAATCTGGGCCCACGCGGGACGAGCCCCGAGGCATGATCCGCTGCGAGCTGCCCCCCGCGAGCGGAGGTAACCGTGTGGGGCTGCTATCCACATGCAAATTGGAAGCACCAGGGGCTTCGGCAACCAGTGTTTTGCTTGCACAAAGGGACGAGACGCACAGCTTGCAAGGTGGGCTACCAGAGCTACCTGCACAGCTTGTGAAATGCCACCTCCTTCAGACAGTGCCTGTGAATGGTTTGTGACATTTGGGGTCCCAGCCTGGGGGTGCACTGTCGGGAGACCCCTTCCAGGCACTAGGGAACAGCACGGAGACTCCCGCCAAGACCAAGGAACTGGTATGAATGGAGCATCACATGCTTATGGACTGGACTGTATGACAGCGGCTTGCAGCAGCAGAGAAGTCCCTTCCAGCGTGATGGGCCCAGCGTCTTGGCTGTACAATGCCGGTGAGCAGACGCCTCGTCTAGCATCGCCTGCATTTGCACTCAAAGCCAGAGAAAGGATCCAGGCTGAAGCAAGCAAGAGTCCACCTGTCTGTAGGCTCCGGGGAGAAGGCTGCCCAGTTAGGGGATGAGAATACACCAGTCACACCAGTTCCTCCTATTGCACACCCATCCACAGGCTGCCTTGGAGACCCCGGGTAACACAGGAATGGCAAATTTAAGGGCAACTTAAATTCTACAGACTTCATGCTGTTAGCAAGCGTTAAAGAGACCTTCCCAAAATTTTAATCAAGATCTGGGGCTGTGGACAGCTGAAGCCATTACACCAGTTTAGAGGGAAGAGCCAAGCTGATCCACTGCAGGCGTTGTGTGCGTGCCCTCTGTCCCACCGGACATGGGAGCTAAACCCTGGGGATGTAGCAGTTGCTTCACATTGGCTTGAACTGCCCTGCCTTGGCCGCCGCTTACTCTGGAATAGGCGCAGACACACAAACCAGTTACCATGGATCAGCTGTGCCCCTACTCTGCTGCAAACCAGCGTGGTTTCTATTCCCCCTGGCCACAGCCTTTGTTGCATGGTTGGAAGGAGACTTCATTTCTTTGCTGTATCAGAGTCTTAGTCCCCCGCACTCTCCCAGGGACGCAAGCATGCACAGCCCCCCAGGGAGGAATTCCCACCTCTCCGACATCCAACCTCCAATGGGAATTCCTCCTAATACAAAGCAATGGGGACAGGATTAGAGCTGGGGAGCAAATGCTTTTCCCCACCCCGAGACCGCTGTGAGATTTCAAAGGCTTTCTGCACTCCGCGTGCGGATCGGGGCCCTTGGGGGTTGCCCACACACTCGTCTCAAAAGAGACAGCGGGACTGTCAGGGCCCCAAGTTCATGTCCCAGCCCCACCTGATGCAGAGCAGAGAACCCCAGGCTGGGTCCCCGACCGCCCAGGTGATGCTCCGACCACTGGGCAACACAGTCAGACCCGGCAGCCCAGTGAATATTTATTTGATAAAGCAAAAGAGCTCCAGCAGCAGTAAAAGAGAGATGGTCCCCAGCCTGGCTGGTCAGAGCCGTCACCTGGAAGAGGCAGTTCAGACCCCTGGGCCAAGTCAGGCGGAGCCAGGATTTGAACCAGTGTCTCCTGCACCCGAGGTGCGGACCGAGATCGCACAGGACCCCTCTGCTACATGGGATTCGTGCTCCCACCCATCACCACCCCTCCAGGTCAGGATACCCACATCGGCATTGGTCACTGGGTCCGGTCCCCGCAGGCGCAAGCTCTCCTCAAGCTGTGGTGGAGGCAGGCGGGGAGACAGAAAATAGACAGCGTGAGCGCAGACGGCCCAGTGCCCCCCGACGCCAGCAGAGTCCGGCCCCGCGGCTGCAAGCCGGCAGCTCTCCCGATGCACCCCTCAGTCGCAGTGGGGAGCGAAGGGCCGCAGCAATGCCATTGCAGCCGACGCCTGCCCCAGCGCTCTGCCAACACCCTGCCATCCTCGCCCGCACCCCTTCTGCCCCTGCAGCGCTGCCAGGTCCCCTCGATCCTACCTGCAGCCCCCAGCTCCCCCGGGGATATATCCCAGCCCTGCTGCTGCCCCACGCGGCTCTGCTAATGCTCCTCTGTGACACTGCCCTCCCCAGTCTGCCGAGCCACGAGGCTTCGTCAACTCCCTCAGCACCGTGAGAAGTCCCCAGACCAGACGTGTGGGGCTGGCAGCAGGTTTCAAGCCAGATGTGGAGCTATGCCCTGGTAGCAACCAGCTTTGCATCATCCAGGCGCCCCTGCTCCTCGAGCCCGCCGCAGGAAGCACCCAATGCCAAGGAGGTCCGAGTCCTGCTTCCACCTCTCCCTCCCGCAGAGGGAAAGGGCTAGTTCTCTCCCAGGCAGCACAGGCCGGTTGTCCCCAGGAGAAGGGCACAGGTTTCCCTGCAAGGCACCAAGGGCGAGCAGGGAGGTGCCAGACCCTGTCCCCCATGACCTGGTCTGGAAGGAAACAAGTCGGCGCAAAGGGGTCAGGGAAACGGAGCAGGTGGGAGTCCCAAATGCTGGTGCAAAGCTGGCTCCTGTCCCCGTATCCTGACCCCAAGCAGGAGACGAGTCCTCCCTGCGCGACTGGACCAGCCCCTGTGACTGGCCTGTCACCGGCAGGATGACACGAGCTGGCCCAGCACCCTTCCTGCCCGCACCGAGCATGCAGACGGCACCCCTGCCCCTATACACATGCGCCCCATCAAGCCCCCACCACGGCACCAGGGCCAAGCCCAGGCTGCAGCTACTTGCCCGCTCCACTCGCCTCCGCACATAGAGCCCGGGCGGTTCTCCGGGGGGCTGGGAGGGCTCGGAGGGAGCCGGCTCCCCTGCCTCCATCCCGCCGGCTGCTCAGCCCTCGCTCAGCCTCCCCCCAGTCCCCGGCGATGCACAAAGCCCCGGCAGAAGGAGCGTGGGGGACGGCGCCTTCGAGACCCGGGCTAGGAAAGCCGGCTGCCGAGCGAGCGGCAGAGTCTGGGCATTGTTCTCCGGCCTCCCAGAGACGCTTTCATATTGTAATTGGCAGCACGGAGCCCGTCATCCACGGCGTGCCCCCGCGCCAGCCTGTCTACGTAGGCCCAGGCCAGGTCTCGTGATCAGCGCAGGCGTGGGGGTGCTCAGGATGGCCTGCTCATGCCCAGGTGATGCTGCTGGGAAGAGAAACCGCTTGCTGCGTGGCCCTGCGCTGGGTGCAGACAGACCGGCTGACCGCAGGCCCCGTCCTCAGAGGGACAGCAGCTAGAGGGGTCCTCCCCTGGAAGGGGCAGTGCCTCTCAGACTCACAGCACCGAGCACAACTTGACTTGGAGGCCCATTTTTCAGGGGCACACACATACCCCCATGCCCAGATGGGCACGCTGCTTCTGCAGTGCGCGCTGGAAATGTTCAGCTGCAAGTATTGACTTCTCAGGGCCCTGGCTAGAGACCCGGGGAGGGGTGGGATTTTCACTCCCTCAGATGCTGGCTGGCTGTACCAACACGTCCCGACCTCATCAGGTGCTTGCGTGTGCAGGGCACTGGGAGATACCTGGCTATGGAGTTAGAGCAGTGTCCCCGGTGTTTCTGGGGTCTCGTGCCCCTTTTAAAAGCTGGCTGCACTGCTGGGTGCCCCTGCAGTTGAGAGACATGGGGAACGAAAGCCTTTGCTGTCCCTAGAAGTATCCGTGACATCCCCAGCACCCTTCGAGCTGCTGCAGCCGCCCTTCAGCTCTGCTTTTGTCTCCTTTTTTTCCCCACTCATACTTGCCCAGCCCCTCCTCTCCCGCACCCTCCGCCAGTCTACCATGGCCCCAGACTGCATCAAACACCAAATAACTCTGCTGCTTCCACCCTTAGGAAATGCAAGTGGGTAAATCCACAGTTGCAGCTTCAGGGAGCAGACCACCGACTAGGGGCTATTCCCAGCTCTCCCACCGACTACTCTGGGACCCTTGGCAAGTCGCTTCCCTTCTCAGTGCCTCAGTTTCCCCATCAGTAATATGGGCCCACAACTGCCAGGCCTGTCAAAACCCCCCAACAGGGTAATATAATCCATTTGTATTCTTGTTTATCCTCCATCTCCCTTTTCCCCAGTCCCCTGCTGTCATCTGACAGCCAGTCCTCTAGTAAGCCAGGGACAAGCCTGTACATGCTACTGAGCATCCAACAGAGCCATTATTTAACAGGGCAGGAATGAGAGGGAGGAAAAAGCAGGAATCAGAAGGGATTCCCAGGCAAGCTAACGCAGGAGGCAGAGGCACGCGGGTTGGTCGAGTTGTCGACTCCCAACTAAAGAGAAATTGCTGGTTTTCTTTCCTGCATTTCTTTTTAATTGCACAGTAAAATGAAAGCCCCCCTGGCTGCACACAGGACTTCTTGCCTTCATCTCAAAGCACCTTACAAAAGGAGAGGCAAAATCACTGCACTTGTTTTGCACCTGGGGAAACCGAGGCAGGGAAAAGGAGAAGAGATTCACACAAAGGCACAAAGCGGAGCTGGGACAAGAAGGCAGATCGGATGAACCCCATGCGGTGTCCAACCCCCGTGGATGAAAAAGAGATTTTTTTTGCAATTTCCTAGTTGGTCTAATAAAAAGTATCCTTTTTGAACCAAGAGGTCTAGATTTTTGCAACCCCCATGGATGCATTTATTTGGGGGGGGCAGTATACCACTCAACCAGATCAGGTCCTTCACTCCTTCCCCAAAAATAGCAGACAAGGCCCCCAAGACAAGTCAACCAGAGCCCCCAGGACTTCGGCTTCACCCCTCCAGGTCTGGCCGGGTCCCCATGGGATTTAGCAGGATTTAACCCCGTACATTTCACTGGTTTTAAACTCCCCCTTGTGATTATCGTCCCAGCCTGGGGGAGCTCGGACCGAGAGGCAATCCCGCCCCAAACAGGATGATATCTGCTGGTCACCCCACGCCGGCGATGATGATGAAGTACTTTGTAAAAGGCTTTCTTTCTCCTAGGCTCGGCCCATGAATGAATGAACAAAGTTTACTGTCTCCCCTAGCGACTGCTGTCTTAGCAACCAGCAATTCCTTCCATTCCTTCCCCGATTGCCATGGACACCAGTCCAGGCCTGAGCCCAAAATGCAGCCGCGAAAGCAGATGAGAAGCTGGGAACAGGCTGGGAGCCCTGCAGACACCCCCCATCCTCCGGGCAGGCTGGCAGGGGGGTGCCAGGGACCAGGTCCCACCAACCCCACGGTTTGGGGCTGGAATGTGAAGACCCCTAGATATCCTGCACCGTTCACAGCGGGGAAGGGCTCCTCTCTCCTGATTTTACATTCGTTTAGTGCTGGTGGCTGGAATCCCCTGCGGATCCACAGGAGCTAAAGGTCAAAGTTTCCCCTGGACTAGCATGGTTAAACCACACCAGTTTCTGTAGCCCCTGGCAGAGGCAGGGGAGCATCGTGGCCACCTGTCTTTGACTCTTCAGCCCAGGTGCTCGTTCACCTGGGTGGGTGGGGGCATGCCCTTGGCATGAGTCTAGCCAGGCTCAAACTCAGGTCTCTGGATCTATAGCAAAACACCTTAGCACCCCACCGATGCACAGAGTAGGGATGAGAATTGCTCCCAGGACACTGCTCTGGTCCACTCCACTCGGGTGAGCGACCCACAGCAGGCAGCGCTGGGCAACGGTGCTGTGATGGGCGCACGAGATGACATGAAATCGAACGCTATCCCCAGTACCTTTCAGAGGAGGACCATGGTGCTGGTATCACCTGCCAGTCCCTGAGTGTGAAACAGCGTCTGACCGCTGCTCTCCTGCACTAGCAAAGAGGTGCGGTGTTCCCTGCAGAGCTAGGTTTCGATCCCTGTTGTCACCGATGGCTTGAAAGCCCTAGAATGAGGCTTGTGAGACTTCGTGCCAGCAGCCTCCCCTGCTGCGCTGCTTGGTGACCTGCCCCAGGACACGCCAAGGACATCACGGGCTGCGGTCCCATGCACCAGCCAGCAAGCAATTCATCGTCCAGTGGGCAGGTCCTGACAAGCCCCGATCACATTCTTTACAAGGAACAGGCCCAGACAGGCCCGGGATCTTGGATGGACGTCCGTGCATGCAGCTTCATGAAGAACCAACCAACCTGGGCATTGCACCAGCTCACAGCCAGGACACGGAGCTGAGCACAGGCCCCCCAGGCAGGGGGGACAGACAGGCCACTTTGTGGCCATGGGAGTCCATTCATACCTCAGCACGTCACTGCAGGGGAGCTGGGACTGTCCACCCAACAGGTATGCTGGATCAGAGAAAGCAGCGCTCGGTGATGTGCCCTTGGGGGCAAAGCAAGATCCAGGACCTGGCTCAGGCCAGGCCACCAACTGGGAAGGGTTGAGCTGAAATGCCCAGGAGGATGCAACATGCCAGACAGACGGATGCCACGTTCCCTGTCCTCTGGCCAACAGAGCCCTCTCCCCAGCTCAGCTGCACTGGGCTCAGAGGAGAAGCTGGCCTGACCTCACCCAAGGACAGGACGTCCACAGCTCTGGACAAGATTGCAGAGTTCGGCCAGTGCTGCCAGAGCCGAGAGCTGGGTTTCATACCACGCAGCTGAGCAGACCCAAGAGGAAAGGGTCCGAGTGCACCAGCCCAGAAGGAGCTCAAGACAAGAGGGAATCAGCCAGGACCACCAAACCCTAGAGACCAGACAACAAAGCCACACGGCCCTGAGAGGCGAAGCATGTGCCAACCCTGTCACCAGAGCACGGGCCCCATCACTGCAGCCCAAAAGGCGCCAGAGGCTCAGAGGCAGACCCCTTGGGTGACGGGGGAGATACCAGCTGTGGAGTGATGCTTCGGGCTCCTGCAGCCAAGAGAACCCAACTCCGAGGTCTCCTCCACTTTAAGCTGGACCACGCGCCCCAGCTGCAGAGCCTCAGGTCTAGCAGAGATGATTTCTCCCTGGGAGGTAACAGAGCCCCCAGGACACCTTCTCCAGAGCCTCTCCACTCGCAAAGCCAGGGAGCAGGACGCACGCAGGCAGCTCTCCCGCCCCATCTGCACCCCAGACCTACCCGCTCGCTGATGGCATTGTACTTGATGGCCAACTCATCGCGTTCGGCTCGGCTCTGTGCCAGCAGGTCCTCGACACGCGACAGCTCCTGCTGCAGGATGCGATTCTCCTCCTGGAGGGACAGCAGCGAGGACATCTCGGCGGGAGAGGCCGCTGCGGGGAGAAGAGCGAGAGGCATGGTAGGGTACCATGGGGCAGCATGCTGGGCCGCGTCCAGCTGCACAGGAGCCGCCTGGTTTGCAGGCTGCAGCATCCGACCGAATCTCCTTCTACTTCCAGCACAACCAGCAACGCAAGTCAGAAGTGGCCGCCGGGATCACAGCTTCTCACCCAATGCAGCAGACTGACACAGGGCCACACTCCCCACGTCTGCTGCCCGAGACCCGGAGCCTCAGAGCAGAGCCTTTAAATGCACACGGCTCCTGGGACTCAGCACAAGCTACCAGCACCCTCCTGGGGAGAAAGGAGTGAGGCTGGGCTGTGATGAAGGCAAAGGGGACCCTCTGGGGCTGTGATTGCAGAAGTGGGAGGAGAGCTGCTCACCCCAGGTCCACGGGAATGCCCCATGAGTGCCCAACCTCAGGCCGGAGACAGTCCAGCTCTTCCCTGGTCTGGAGGGCACCAGGGTGAGAACAGCTCCATAGGCTCACTCCATAGCTCCATAGGCCAGAGTGGAAGAGGGCACTCGGGCTGGCAATGTCCAGCTCCGAACAGGGAGGGGTGGGATGGAGAGGTTGGATCCCAGCATGCAGCGTGGTCGGCCAGACAGAGCGTCACTGCCCGCCGGGGTCTCGCCTCAGCCAGGGGCTGCTCCGTATGCAGGCGGCCACTGCTACCCTGCCCGAGCCCCCAGCCCAGTTACCAGCTGAGCCAGGACCACCAAGGCCCTACCTTGGTCCTGCGGCTCCGACAGGTTCTCGGTGACGATCTCCCGGATGCGGGCGGGCAGGCGGGTGGGTGGCGCGTCCTTGGAGGTGCCCCGGATGGCGAGGCTCTTCCCTTCCCCGGAGGTCAGCACGCTGCTCTCCAACTTCTGCATGATGGGAACACAGCAGGCTGAGCCCCGTGCCTAGCGCGGAGGCTGCAACCTGGCCCCTTGTTTCTCTGCAGCCTCCCTGGCCCTTTACCCTCCTCAAGCACTACCTTGCAAGACTGAGCAGCCAAGTCTTCCCTCCCGGCCAGAAGCCAGATGTGCTGTTGTGACAGCGATGGAAAGGCCTGTCCAGTCCTTGTCAACCAGCTGGGACCTAAGAAGCTAGCAGTGGAGGCTGCCATGCTTAGCACTGACCCTAGCTGAGCAGGACCCAGGGCCAAGAGGGAACCCATAGACAATACAGGGCCTGTGAATTAACCCCCAGCCTTGCACCCTGAAAGTGCAAAGGCTCGAGCTCAGGCCTGCGGAGGCACGCCGAGATGCTGTACCCACCTTATCGCCTCACCTATCGCAGCTGAAGCCAACCCCAGGCAATAAAACGGCCTCGGCATAGACCCAACCTGCCGGCCCCAGGATGAAATGCTTCATTACACCCCCAGCCACCCGCTCCCCCTCCGGGCTGGTTACTAACCAACAAGGGGCCTGGAGCTGAACACAAACTCTGCAGGGTTTCATCTGAGGTCTGTGCCACCCAGGCCAACTAACCCACAGCTGGCTGCAAAGCAATGCAAACACCCTTCATGGAGGATCCTGCCCTCTCTCCTGCCCAGGCAATGAATGCAAGCAGCCCACTACCCTTTTGCTACCTGGATGCTGAGTGGCTTTGGGATAAAGTCTCTGCATTTCCCAGGCCACCCGAGGTAACTCCCAACAAGACAGAAATAGACCAGGTCTAAGTGAGAAAGACCTAGTGATTCTCAACCGGGGACCCTTTAAAGGGTGCAGATCCACGTTAGCGCTGGTCGGCATTCAAATAAATGGGATGAATCCAGCGATTTCAAATAGCAATCTGCCCTTTGAGAGACACTCTGCTCCGCTGGGGTCTTGCTGAGGCCTTTGCAACACAAGCCCTGCTCCAGTCTTTTTTCATAGTCAAAAAATGAAAGTGAATAAGAAGAGCTGGCAGGTGCCGAGAGGCGCCTTGGGTCTAAAAAAGTTGAGGACCACTGATTTAAAAGGATAAAAATAGTACCCTAAGACAAACCAATCCAATCAAGTGCCAGCTGGGCACCCATTTTAGCCTACGGAGGGTTTTAAAGGTGACCTGTAAACGGGGAGAGAGCAGCCGGGCTTGTGCTTTTCTTTTTTTTAACACCAATATAACTCAAATGCCAGGCGCAAACTTGGGCAAAACCCCATCGGGGAGCATTCAGATGTACCCCGTTGATAAACAGAGGGTGATAAAGCTCCTGCTGGGATTGTCAGGTGAAGCAAGGAAAAACTGGGAAGACAACCCATGCTATTGCTGCTGTAGAAGGAGAGGAAAGAAGAGGAGGGAAAAAAACCCCCTACAAACTTTCAAGTTTTGCTTATAAACCCTCAAAGCGGCACAACTAGGGGTACATCTGGCAGGTCCCCTCTCATGCCAGTGACCGGGGGTTTTTTCAGGTGGTGTTTCAGGCCTGTTGCAAACACCGTCGCTACCTGCATCGGTATGGAAAGGAAGGAAGAGAGCGAAGGGGTCTTTCTGCTGCTCTCATGGCCTGAGTCTCATCTTGTCTAAGCCAGCAGCAACCCTGCTGAAATCAAGGTCTCTCCAGCAGCACGAAGCAGCGTGCACACCTTGCAGGGAGTGGGAGCCAGTCCAGCACCCAGAGACAGCTGCTTGGCCAGGACATTTGGTGAGACCGGAGTCCCCCCAGCAGAGAGCTTGTGATCAGGATGGGGACCACAGCTGGATGGAGCCCCCTGCTCCCGGGAGCTCTGGCACAGGCTGTTTTAGAGCAGGACAGTAAACCCAAGGATGGTGCCTTGAGCAGAGAGATGCACGGCGAGCCCGGGAAGGGCCTGGGTGCTCGGTGTGTGGACCAGCGCCTTGTGCAGCAGGCAGGAGTCGTGCAAGCTAAACTACGCGACTGACCTGAATCACCGCCTCCAGTCTCAGCTCGGGGTCCGCCGCAGGCTCCGGGGTGCTCATGGGGGTCCCGGGGCAGTGGGAGAGAGTCCTAGAGCCCCATCACTCCTCCCCTGGGGATCCAAGCCGCTTTCCCCGGCTCAGCCAAGCAGTCTCCATGGGGCCAACCCCAGGCTCCTTCCCTGGGGGTGCTTTGCGGGAGCCGTGCCCTCCGCTCCCCTTTCTCCAGCGGGTCCCGGGGGGTTTCCCGGTTCTTTCTAAAGAGTCGCTTAAGGCCGCGGAGCCTGGGCCAAGCTGGGAGAAAGGCTCCTAGATGCACACAATTGCGGCTGCACAACAAGCGGGATTAGAAAGAGATCCTCTCCACCCCCACGCGACCAATGGCTGGGAGCAGGGGCGGCCCGACAGCAGATTCCCTCCCTTTCCTGGAGATCTCATTCATTTCCATCGCCTTCGAGCTGCCTGGTCCTAGAGGCGCCCTGCTTCCCGCCAGAAAGGGGACGGATGTGGCCCAGCCTTCCCGCCGGGCAGCCTGGAGAAATGCAGAAGGTGGAACAGCAATTGCATTCATCAGCCGCTTTTAAAACCCAGGACGAGCGATGGACCGAAGCCGAGAGCTTGACACCATTCAAATGGGGTTTTCCTGGATGCCGAGAGCAGAAAGCATCAGCTGGGGTTAGAGACCGATAACCCTCCTCTCTCACCTTCCTCTGATGCTGCGGGTGCTGGCTGCTATCAGGGACAGGAGGAGGCTGGATGAGATGAGCGCTGGCTTCGAGGCAGGCCAGCCAGCCCCGTGCCCGCATCGTAGCTGCTTGGATGAACCGGTGCAAAAGTAGAGCTCCCTCGCTACGTTTCTGAATGGCCAGGCAGGTCCTGAGCACCTGCACCCCATATCCAAACCCAAGAAATGACCTCATCTCCAAGATGCAGACGGCGAGAAGCAGCAACTGAGCGGCCTTCTCCCTCGGGTAATAACACTGACAAGCAGGGTCCAGGGAGACGGAGCTGAGCGAGCGGGGATGATCAGCTCCTGCAGAAAGGCTGCTTTCAAAATGGGAAATGCTCTGCCGGTTGCAAAGAAAAGCTTCCGATAAAAAGCCGCCGTCCCTGGGCTGCAGAGGTAGCTCCAGCATCTCTCCTGCTCTTCAGCCTCCCCAAAGTGGCTGCTGATGACACAGCCCCGCTGGACCAAGCACTGGACAAGTCGGCTAGCGAGTCAGGTTCAAGAGCACGGAGGAGCCTGGGTTTTACTCCATCTGCCGACTGATGGTAATATCAGCTGCCAGAATTTGGCCTGGAGTAAAGAGCAGGTCCTTTTCCTCTGCTCCCGTGGAAGTAGCCAGACTCGGCTTCGTTTTGTCTTTGCTGGTCGGAGCAGAGTAACCAGCTCTGGACCTGCCAACAGCCACGGCTGCACGAGGCACAAGGCCATTACGAGCAGATGCTGAGACGTTTGCAGGGGTCCTCCATAACACCGGGGGCTGGGAGAGGCCGAGAAGCCGTCAGAGAGGCCAAGAGGCTGGGGAAGGGGATGCAATAGCAGAGCTGCAGTTCCTCGCAGCACCTAGGATCCCCACAGGCAGCCTGGGATCAGTGGCTCCCTTTCCATTGCTAGAGGCGAATCCAGATTCACACTTGACCAGGTGCCTACTAGGCAGGGGCTGCAAAAGGCAACCCCCCCGATGCTGGAGCAGCTTGATAGAAAACCCAACAAGATACCACTCTTGTTGGCCAACAAGATTGATAGCCAACAAGATACCACTCTAGAAAACCCTGGCCTCTCAAAGAGGTGGACAGACTGCTGCCTGGACTGAACATACACATCTGCAGTGCACGGAGCAGAGGAGAAGAGGAGGAGAGTGCATTTCCAACCCAGCTCCGACAGCTTTGGTGCCAGGTCAGCTCTCAGCTCAAAGCCTCGTCTCCCAGGCCCAGCTGGCTCATGGTACAAGAGGGCGTAATTCTGCCTGGCCAGTAAAAGCTTGCCTTGCATAGGCCCCTGTCCTCCAAACTCATCCCAAGGAAAGCTAAGCTCAAGTCCATCAACTTCTAACGAGCTACCGAGCCACGTGGCACCCCGGGCAGGCAAACCGGGGTTCTCCCCCAAGCAAGCGAGATACTACTGGATCGGGAAGGCAGGTTTTACAGAAACGCTTTGGTGCGCAGGACAACACAAGGATGGAGCATCCGAACCAATACGAGTTAGATCGGTGGTACCCAGACCCAACCTTGATGCAGGAAACAAGAGCACGACGACTACGTGGCTGGGCCGCATCCAGACGATGGAAGGACACTGCAGTCCCTGTGCCAGCCTGGCCGACTGCAGCGGGTTTGGGCAGGGGGAAGGGATGGACACTTGGCAGATGTTTCTGTTAACAAGGGATAAGAGCTAGTGGGGGCTGGATTCTGCCCTCTGCTCCTGCAGGGCTGTCGGGACAGGCATCTATTGCTGCAAGTAGGGGAGGGTATTTCTAGGCAGGCACTTTGATCCAGGCTGCCGGGCTGGGGTTACAATTCACCATGCTCACAAGAGCCTGGCATGGGAATACCCCATGTAGGGCAAACATGGGCATCTGCTCCCCTACTGCAAGCCCCCCCACTTCTATGCCAGCCTCTCTCTGCAGAGGCAACCCAAACACCCTCATTGTAGGGAGGGCATGGAAGGGGGCACAGGGGGAGGAAGGGTCCTGCCCAACCCAGGCAGCTTTGGAGCCTCAGCAGTGGGTGGGAAAGGGGGATAGGGAGGAAGGAAGGGGGAGATCGGTGTCTGCTGGGGCAGGACCTTGCTGCAGTGCCGCCCTCCGCACAGGAGCTCAGTTCCCCGAGCACTGTCACTGCCAGTCCCTGGCTCACCTCCAGCTCCCCCCTGGGGCTGCAGGCCCAACCCCTGCATCCAGGGCAGCCTGGGAGCACTGGGTCCTAATGGGCATCTGCGGAGCACCCCCAGCTCCGACCCAGCATGCTGGCTGGCTGCAGAGAGAGCAGGGGGCTCCCCTGCATTGCAGGAGCCAAGAGAAAGACTCCACTGATGCTCAGGTGAGGCAGATGCCAGAGCCAGGTGCTCCCACTTGGAGCCTGAGCTAAGGAGGGTGCATCTGGCAAAGCAAAAAACTTCCCATGGGCTGTGATTGTGCCCCTCTCCCCGGGAAAGCAGCTGCAGGGGGAACAGCACCAGCCCTAGCACATGGCCCTTCCTGTACTGGCTGCTCCCCGAGGGTGCACTGCTTCAGTCACTTCTTGACCCAGCTCGCAAGTTAAGACCCCCCCCCCCCCAAGTCCAGCCCTGGCACAAGAGAGATTGCTGGTGGATCTCAGCTCATCTTGCCTGGGCCACCAGGTTTCCAGCAGCTGTGCTAGCAACAGGGCGAACGCTGGCTCAGCTCAGGCTTCGTCAATACATTGCACCCACGAAACAAGGATGCCCAAAGCCAAGTGCCCAGGACCACGTGGCCTGTAGCGTAAATGCAGCTCCTTTGCGCTGATCACCTGCTGCAGAATGATTCGGGTGAACCTGGTTATGCCACTCGATAAACCAGATGCTCAGAAACCGCTCACGGGGTCCGATCAGAAAAACAGCCAAGAGCACTGGATGCGCTGGTCCTGACTTACCCGTCCCATGCCCTTCACCTCTACTGCACCCGAGGGGCCTAAATCCCCGGCACACGACAACCCCCAACATATGCACCATTCACCAAGGATGGCTCGTGCCCCGGGGCCATCCTCCAAGGGGTGGACACGTTCCCCTCTTCAGCGAGTGGGATACCCAGCAGGAAGAGAGCTGGTGACAGCCAAGGCTTTGCCTCCAGGAGCAGCATTAATAAGAGAGCAAAGTAAACGAACAGCGGTCATCAGAGCGGGGTCTCCTGACCCTACGACTCCAGGAACTCCTCAAATTGCACCCCCGGGGCCCTTTGGAAAGCACTGCACACCTGAGCCGGATTGAATCTCTCCTCCGCCGTAGAGGAACAGCAACTTCACCTACCCCGAGCTCTGCTCGCAGGTGCTGGGCACGCAGGCAGAAAGGGCTCAGAGGCTGGCGCTGCCCGCGGCGCTCAGTGGAACCGGTCCAGGCCCATTGTTCGGGAGTCAACAGAGCGGCGTTTCCTTTTCCAGGGCCGCGTTACTATAGAGCTCAGCGCACGCCGTTGGGGGGCGGGAAATGCCTCCAGCAGCCCGGTTTAGGGCACTGCAGGAGGAGGAAGGTGCAGCTTGCTCTAGCATTGCCACACTTTGTTCCTCCTCCTGGTAACCCAGGGCAGGGGCCGGGCCGCTGGGAGCTTTGTCCCGCCAGCCCTCAGCCCTTTACATAAAGCCCCCTGACAGGCTGCTGCCCTGCTTTAAGCTCATTAGCAGCTAGGATGATCACGCCACAAGCTGGCTAATCACCATCCGTGGCAGGCTACTAAAGCGAGTCCTCAGGAAACCCGATGGCCTGTTCCTGAATTCAAGGCTGAAGCCAAGTGCTCCCGGGCCCGAGACCCCTTCGGATCACGTGGAGACGGCTGGATCACTGTCCTGGGAACAGGTTAGGACTGCTGCTGCTTCGGTTTGGACAGATGCCCTTCCTCAGACACAAAAATTGAGTGGAGAAGAGCGACCCAGCGAGATAAAGGCAGCAAGATCATGCTGCGAGAGAGGAAGAGGAGATTCAGGGTGAATTCCTCCACCCCCTTTCAATCTCATTGAAGCACCCCATCATTTTTAAAAGTGTGCATAAGGCTCCTAAATCACTTAGGTGCTTTTAAGGGGTGTTGGTTGGAGCCCTGTTTGCTTTTAAAGTGTGCTGGTTGTCGCCATGTTGGTGTAAGGACATAGAAAGACAAGGTTCTTTGAGTAAATCTGAGATCTCTTATTAGACCAACTCAGATAGTTGGAAAAAGTCTTCCAACTGTTTGAGTTGGTCTAATAAAAGATTTAATTTACCCAGACCCTTATCTGCCTTAGGCGCTTTTAAAGCTTTTACCTGCAACCAGCCACCAAATAGCACCTCTGATAAATATGAAAGAGCAGCTGCTGTCGTGAACAGGCTTTTCAGAGCAAGATACCGGTGCCAGTACAGCGCTTGAGCAGCAGTTCTCAGACTTGAGGCCCACTTTGGAAAACGCCAGCCTCAGCTTTCACTTGTTTCTTGACTACAGAAAAAAAGATAGAGCAATTTCTTCCATTGCAAACAGCTCACAACGACTCCAGTAGGTTGGAATGTTTTGGACACTGTGGATTCCTGTTTGAAATCTCTTGGGTTTATCTTGAGAGTTGTGTGCAAACACCAAGCGGGGGTGTGCTGCATGACCCTGGTGGAGAATCACTGGTCTAGGGATACACAATCAAGGGTCCCCCATCTTCCAAAAGCCCTTG